TGGGAAAATGAGAGAAGACGGATAAAAAAACAATGTTATATATGACAAGTGATACGAGTCGACATTGTTTCAATCTAATACGAGCTCAAGGCGATCATCGAGACTGCTTTACAATTATCGTTCTTTTTCTTTTCCGTTAACGTTGATGTCATCGCTTGCTAACTAACTTACTATGTCCTTTTCTCTCGAGAGAAAAAAACTTTAGCCGTTGACATTAATAAAATCGTCGTTGAACGTTTATTTAGCTCGAAAATTCAATGAAAATTTTCCTTGGATAGAATAGAGACAGATAAAAATATCTGAGTTAATTGGGAGAATATTTCGACATTAACTACGTTGCAAGATAACATCAGACTAAGAAAATATCTTTTTCTTCAGCGCTCAGAAAAAGAAAGAGAAGGAATATATGATCGAAAGAAAAACACGTTACTAGATGTTCTTGTATTTCTTGAAAAATATATACGAATATTCTTGAGACATGCACGAAGAATGGACGATGTACTCAATGTACCTTGATATCAAGAACGAATAGAATTTATTCAGTTTCACTTGACTTCACAGACCAGAATGCTAGGCATTCTTTTCTTCTTCTTTTTCTTTTTTTTTTTTTTGTAAACAGGGAAACATTATGTTAATAGTTCAGTTTAAATATTGAACGAGGTTGTATATCTTCCTGACAGGATGAAACATGAAATATAAATATAAATTTAGATATAATGCGATTGGTTTGAGTTATTTATCTAAACCGAGCAACAAATAGCTTGATTTATCGACAAAATATTAAAATGATTAGATAATTAACGTTTTTCGTTTTCGTTTATTCGAAAATCTATATTCCCTATTAAAATATATAATCTTTTTGTAAATTAATATCGATAGAAACTAAAACGTTTTTACGTCTTGGTACAATGAAAAATTGAAAAAAATTACATTTTGATCGACCATTTCATAGACATGATTCAAACATGATTCTTTAAAGTGAATTCTTCTGCTTTCTTTTTCTTTTTATTTATTTATTTCTTTTTTCTTTTTTCATTTTCTCATGCATCCTATATCCAATCTCGTAGAAACTTTGTTTAAAGTACAACTTATAGTATTAAGTATTCTTCAAAGTAAGAATAAGAAAAGCGAACATTTTTTCAAGCGAAAAATCTCACGTGTTATCGCAAATAAACAATTTACATTTAGTAAGTAAAAGTGGTGCAGAACTAAAAGTAGTAGTGGTGATTATGGTCTATACATTAATGTTGAAAGAAAGAAAACCAAGACCATATATGAGAGAAAGATAAATATCGTTTCGTCTGGTGCTTTGTAGGTTCGTGCGGCAAGCACAACGATCGACTAATGCATATATGTAAATGATGAAAAAAGTCCGTTAAGTTGAAAAGAAGTTCCCACGAAGAAGTATTATATATTCTCGAAAGTATATAAAAAGTTAAATTGTAGATACATATAAATAATAAACGAATACATACAAATGTTCTTTTGTTTTAATGTATGTCAACGAGTTATTTATTTTTTTATTTTTCATCATATATAGTAAAATAAAATGGGAATTGTAAATCATTTAAAATAATGATTTATGATTTTATTATTATTATTATTATTATTATTATTATTATTATTATTATTATTATTATTATTATTATATAATATATAACAATAATAAATTTATAAATAATTTACTGAAAAATAATTGTTTTGAAAAATATCGAACATAGTTAATTATTAGTTTTTCAAAGGCACACGCCGTTAGTATTCAATTCTTTATTGATTATTTCAAAACTCGTAGACAAAGAATGAAATACAATTGTAGCCAATGAAAAGAACTACATCTAGTAGAAAATCCATTTTTCTACGACACGACACGAATCGTTTGAATCGTCACGAACGATCAGCAACAACTAATGTTAGCGAACTAATGCTAATAATCAACTAATCCTGATATCAGTTGATTTTTTATTCGTTAAAAGTCTTTGTTGAAACGAACTTGCGTCAGAAATAAAAAAAATGAAAGATGCATAATAAGAAAAAGAGAGAAACAAATGTAAAAGGCAAAAGAATTCGTTGATCCGTGAAAATACGAAACATTCCGATATTCGTACTGCAATAAAGATTTTATACAATGATGAATTTCTGATTATCTATCGTGAATAATCAAGAGACGAGGAGAATGTAAAAAAAGAAAAAGAAAAAATGTATGCTTCATTTTTTCTGTGTTATATTTAATAAAAAACTTTTGTCAATGATTTAAAAAACAAAAAGAACCATCAACAAATAACTACTACATCATAAATTACAAGTAAACCGTACCAAATTCAATCTAAAATTATTAATTATAGTTTTAAAAAAATTAATTTCGAATAAATATTTTATATAATATCTAATAATTCATATAATAATTAAAAAGTTCATTCATTCCTCATAAAAATCATTTGTTTTAAATGATTCGTAGTACATTTTTTGCAAAAGAAAGAAAAGATTAAAAGAAAGAAAAACGTTTACGGATGATGATTAAATATGGACTATAATCTTAATAAAAATGTTCAATCTATAAGGCCCGTTCTTTTTATTTCGAGTTATCTAGCTCATTTCTACAAGTTACCTCTAATTGCTCTCTAATCACTCCTATTATCAGTATGCCATTCGTCATGCAAATGAAGAAATCGACAAATTTTAATTACAAGACGGAAAAGGGAGAGGGAGAGAGAGAGAGGACAATAACTAGAAAATGAAAGAAATAAAAGACTTAATTAAATCGTTTTTAATTGAAAAATATAATTTTGTTCTTTTATCCTTTTTCATAAGAAATTACAAAGAGTCCCTTTGTTCTTTTTAATTTTCCTTTTTTTATTTTTATTTTCTTATTTAATAAATCGACAGCATTATACTTCGAAAGTATTTTCGTCGTTAGCTTTTCAAATCCAGAAGGGAAAGTTGATTGTAGAAACACGAGTTTACATGGCCACCGGTGGATAGAAGGTGGAACGATTAATTTCGAACGCGGACTGAATAGGAAGTTATACTTGGTGGAAGCGTTGACATACATAAATTTAACGCAATATCATCCGTGCGACTAACTGAAAACATTCTTACCGTGGGGGTAGTAACGAAACCATCGGCCAACCACCAGCTGTGTGAGTATGACATGCTCTTCCTCCCTCCCTCTCTCTCTCTCTCTCTCTCTCTCTCTCTCTCTCTCTCTCTCTTTTTTCGATCGAGTTAGTTACACTATTTCTCGTAAGAATAAGAGCAATGGTTAAAAGTTAGACAACACTGTAGTATCTATCAAGTATCTTGAAATCTGGAAGTTAAATCATTTTGGGAAATCTAACGAAAACTTTCACATGAGATATTCACATGACATCTTCAGATCAACGTCATACTTAGAAAATTGGAAACGTTTTCTATCCATCATTTTAATCCTGGTTCAATAAAAGTGTAGACTTAATAACATCGATCGCAATTTTTACAGATCAGCAAGCCGTTAACTCGATATATTTTCGTGTACCCCAATCTTATTATTTCTGATTTGATTAGAAGAATAATTAAAGAGTAAATCTATAGGGATTAATAAGTTATATTCGATCAAGGTGAAAAGTTTAAAAATCGATCGGTGCAATTAATATTTGTAAAAATTAGATTTCTACAAATTTTTCTTTCATTATATCTAATTCGATTAGAAGAATAATTAAAAAATAAGGTTATATAGTGTTAATAAATAAATTATATTCAATCAAAGTGAAAAATTGAAAAATCAGTTGGTGCAATTAATATCTGTAGAAATTAGATTTCGTTCTTAACGATAATTTTCCTTTAAAATTTAATCAAAAATAAGCATACCATTATATTGATAAGATCAACAATTGCGATTTTAGTGAACCATCATCTATCTCTCTTTTCGTTGTTCCTACCTTCTAATACCGTTGGAGTGCCTGTTGCTTCACCGCGATTCGATCGATTATCCGGTCAGAAACCGAAGCTTTCCGTGATACCGTTAAAATCGCATTTTAACAGATGATAAAACTCGTTATTATATAATGAACGTGCTCAATGTTTTTTTTATTTATTTATTTATTTAATGTAACAAACACCGTTTATCTAAAACCATTCCACTAGTGATAATATTTGAGAAAAAATGCGACAATTTGCTTTCGCGCTTCTATTACAATATTAAATAATCCAATGTTTTGTTTCGTTCTCATTTCGACAATTCATTTTATTGAATAAACTTTATTTCGATCGTTGCATCGAGTGCTGCAAAATCCTATTCTCTCGCATGTCGAGTATTTTCTTATTTTATACCTATTTACTTCGAAGAAGTAAGGAGTTTTCATTTAATTTATGCGTAATCTTTTTTTGGGTCAAAATATTTTTTATACTTTTTTCTTTTTTTGTTTTTTATCAAACTCGACTTAAAAGAAAAAAGCTCGTGTTACGAAAAAAAATGTGTGTATATATATATATATATATATATATATATATATATATATATATATACACATTCTTAACATCTAACGATAATACTATAGATGGATAATTTTTTCTGATAGTCGATCTTACAATAAACTTGTTTAAACGTGCTAACGATGCTTTAAATTCGATAATTATGCTATTACATTCGCTCATTATAGATATATATTTATCTATAATGATGGAACAATTATGATTCAATGGAATACGAATATAAGATCGCATTGATCGTTAACACCAAATTTGTTGTTGGCCAACAAACTATTTAATTATACGATAATATATATTATAATAATGTTCATCGGTTGACCCGATCTAGGCACACTCTACTGAATTTTTCTTTACACCTTTTTAACGCCCCTAATCGATATTTTTGTCATAACGTTTCTACGCTGACAATTAAATCTCTTTTCTTTTTCTTTTTACTTTTTCTTTTTACTTTTTCCTTCCTTAATTTTTAATTTTTTATTCAAAAAAATTATTTATTTTAATTCAACGATAAGAAAAATGGAAACAATTATATATACCTTTCGACGTTAAAAAATAGAAGAAGCAAAAGTCTCTCGTTGAAGTTTACTTCCTTCCTTCCTTCTTTTAAATATTTTCGCGAAGAATCTTGTCCTCTTCTTCTCCGATTAAACTCGATGACAATGACTATAACGATGTACGTTTAGTCGAGAATACGAAGATGTCCCGTTCGTTGTCCTCGAAGTTGAGACGAACTCGAGTCGACGGACAGTGTTGAACTGACGCTCCGCGTGCTTCAAACTATACATAGGATGGTGGCGCGGTGACGTCACCAAGACGAACCAATCAGAACTTTGAGTTGTGGGAAGATAAAGGTGGGAGGTGGAGTAGCCGTGTTACGTTCTTTTTCACCCCTTACTTCCTTTCTCCTTCGTGTAACTTCGACTTTCAGAGTACTGAGTATTTGAGCACACCTGGACGACTGTCGTCATCTTCCTTCTGTTCTTACCTTTTCTGTTCACTCCTCCTGGTAAAGCGAACTTTCAACATTTTCTATTACTAATCACTAACATCGTCTATCTATGATACCTATCGCCGAATTCACAATGAAAAATTCATACGTTTAGTAATCTCAATTTTCTCTTTTCCTTTTTTATTTTTTTTTTTTAACTATATGAAAAAAGAAAGATCATGGGTTATTGTATTTATTTACTGATGTATATGATTATATTAATAAATCGATAGCATTTTTCTTCGAAGCCTCCATCAATCGATATTCCAATCAAAGAATATTAATTCTGGGAATTCGATAGAGTTCTAAGAAATATTCCTCATTGCATTTTTTGAAGATTATAATACAATAAACAAGGTTTTCTCTCTTTCTCTCTTTCTCTCTCTTTCTCTTGCTTTTTTTTCTCTCTCTCTCTCTCTTTTTCTTTCTCTTTTTCTTGCTTTTTCTCTCTCTGTCTTTTTCTTTCTCTTTCTCTCTTTCTCTCTCTCGCTCTCCCTCTTTCTCTCTCTCGCTCTCCCTCTTTCTCTCCCTCTCTCCCTCCCTCTCTGGTCATAACAAAAGATATGTATCAATGGATATCGTGCTTTTACGAATGATTATCTCGTGAAAAAGGAAAAGTATTCGAGGACAGGGGGAAGGCAGAAAACTGAACGATAAGCACGAGTCGTGTTATATTTGTCACGGTAATTCGTCCGACCATTAGGGTCTTGATATCGTGTTGAAAAAAATTTGTCAAGTGGCCCTGAATTTACGCCTATCAAATAATGTATATATTACGTTTATGTTTGCATAATCCGTTTGACGTTACAACATTCTCGCATTAACGAAAACGCTTAAGCCGGTTGTTCGGAGCATCGATATCAAAAGATAATAACTTGTTCGAAACATGAGAATATAATAATGGGAAAAAAGTGACGAACATAAAAATCACGTTTACTTTTGTTGTTCGATTCTTTTCAATGGATGACAAAGGGAACGCGGTTTGGTTTTGACTTCTTATCGAAAAAACTTATTGTCTCTCTCTCTTTCTCTCTCTCTCTCTCACCCTCTCTCTCTCCCTCCCCCCTCTCTCTCTCTCTCTCTTTCGCATCAATTTTTATGAAACAAAAGAATTTTTTTTATAAAAAACCAATATTTTCATCTAAATTTGTATAGGATTACTTTAGGATATTCTTTTTTCTTTTTTTTAAGATTATTATATAATTTTATTATTTAGGATAATATTATTTAAAATGTTTCGTTTAATCCTCTATAAGGCCATATATGTAACTATCGAAGTTACTTACTCATATAGTTCTACTTTTTTTTTATTATACTTCATTTTGTCACTGCTATATTGAAAAGTTAATGTTTGCTAAACGTATAAATTATATATACTATACACTTCAGATTATATAATTTTTATCTTAAATGTGTACAAAAGAAATTGGATTATAAAGAAGTAAATTATGATATATATATTAGAATAAAAAACAGATATATATATATATATATATATATATATATATATATATATATATAATTCAATTAAATCAAAATTGTTTTGATCAACAAAATGTAAATGCAATTAAATTTCTCTTATCGATAATTGTAAGAGATTCAACTGTAATAATCTTGGAAATGGTTGAAGGTTTTCAAAATGGCGTTTCGAAGAAATTACTTTCTTCGTGAGCCGACGTAAAGAGTTTTTATCGACAATTCTTTGCAAAGAACCTCGATTCCTCACGGATTTCTCTTTAGAAAATGTATCACGAAGGACGAAGCGAGAGTAAATGAAAAAAAGAGAGAGAGAGAGAGACAGACAGAGAAAGAAAGAAAAAGAGAGAAAGAGAGAAGAGTAGAAAAAAGATAGAAAATGGTCTTAGTTTCACAGTCGATCCGCCACAGTCGCGCACCGTTACCATCGTCCAAGAAAGAAAATGGTCTCAAGCGAGTACTGCTAGTTCTCTCTCTCTCTCTCTCTCTCTCTCTCTCTCTCTCTCTCTCTCTTCCTTTCTCTTCGTCCCTCTCTTTTTCTCTCTCACTCTTTTTCCGTCTCCCTCTGTTACCATAGAAATTCGAATGGTGAAAGTTAGACTCGCATACATTTTGATAAGGCAAGTAGTCTTGTTGGCATTCATTCGCCCTTTGAGATGAATTTCAAAATAAAAATATATTACGCATAAACCTTAAACTTTCGGTCTGTAATTAATCCTTAAATGCATATGATTGCAAAATCACAATATATATATCAATTTAATCTCATTTATATTTTTTCATATGTACGTTACATTGTGAATTAATTTACATATGTGTAACAATTTAAAGTTCTTCATTGAGTTTCCTACAAAAATTTATGATAATTAAAGTTTTCATTATTCCTACGCGCACGATTTAATGTTTGCTTAATAGTTAATATAACAATTTCATATTATAAAATTTTAGAAAGAAACTTTGGATTAAAGGGTTAACTATATTGAAGTTTAATAATCTAATGCAACAAATTTATTAAAAATATAACTAAATATTTCGAATTTTCATTAAATAACAATGTGAAGGTACATTCATATATATGTACATCATAATATTTATTATAATATCTACATAAGGTTGAATATTTTATAGAAAATAATACGATACTTTTAAAAAATTTAATACATTATATATTTTAATATTATTATTTCATAACCCGAATTACATATAATGTTATTATTAATTATTTATCTATGACATACATATTACATATTATAAATAAACAATTAATAAATAAAAACCGCAAATCAAAATCTTGAACAACAACGTCGAAATTAATTGATATCCATAATTTCTTCGTTCTTTTTATAAAAATCATAAAATGAATAAAATCGCATTATTTTCTTGGATAAAGGAGTAACATTTTAAGATAAATTAGTCATGTACTCCTTTTAGAGAATTAAACCGATTGATTGATTAGGCTTGACGAAGATGAGGAAGAAGCCGCGGGCTGTACTTCAGCTGCCATCATTCCTTGTTATTTATCTCTACAATCAAGACGATCGACGAACACCGAATTGTTCTCCTGTTGCAATAAGTGAAGCGAAATTAAAATGTCTTCTTCTTATAAAGGACGATACCAATAATATACCTATATGTATATGTACTTACATGTGTAAGTAACTGCGTATATGCATCTGTTTCCCACATTAAATCGAATAAAAATTGTATCGATTTCTTTCTTTCTACTCGATTTACTTTTTTTGATTATTTATTTGGAAATGTAAATCGTTACGCTCTTTATTTATTTTTTTTTCTTATTTGTTCATTACGAATTCTCCAGTTTTATTTTTTTTATTAGAAAAAATATACATCGAAAATACATATATCATATATATATAAATATATAATAAAATATACATATACACATACACATATATATAAATATATAAATATAAATATAATTGAGATATGGCAATTAATCACCAATCAAGAAGTAGCCAAGAGTTACAGATATCTGAAATAACTGATGGAAATTAAAGCATGCTTCAACCTACATAACTAATAGATACAATTCCTGTATGTGTTCTTATGTGTGTTGTATATTTATATATATGTGTATACATTCATGGGAAACAAATTATATTTACTTTTTTTACTGCATACATGTTTTATAATGGTACAGAAGGTGTAATAAATTACATAATCATATATAAATTTTTTTTAATTATATCGAAAATTAACATCGTAGCAGACTTGACATATATGTTTAAAGTGTTATAATTTCCATTTAATATTGATGTACATATGTACATAATACTTAAATGATGTACATACATATATACATAATACTTAATTTAAGAAAAATTATTACATAGATTCAAATTATCTAATTCATATTTATATTCATTCCTAATTTTTATAATTATAATTAACTATTGACGAGAACAATACGTAGTCATGTTACAGGATGAATAATTTAGCATTTAGATCAGAAATATATTTCTTTAATTTGAAAATATCAAAAATTTTCGAGTAATGAATTTACATCGTTATAAAAAGAGAAAGAAAAAGCAAGATAATACGCATACAATAATTATTTGTTTCTCCGTTTACATTATGCAACGTTTTTCCTATATTAATAAATAACATTCAGATATATGTATTATATAAACATTTGCTGCCAATGAATCATCCCGCATAATATTACATTTTTCTTATAAAAAAAAAATATATATATATAACCACGAACTCATGTCATTCATGATATGCTGAGCCTTATAACACTGTTAATAAATAAAAATAGCTAATCGCATTGTAATAGTACGTGCAGTGACCGAAGCGGAAATTTCACAGATGCAAAAATCCATTTATCATGTTACCTACTAATAACTCTCTCGTATATTTAATTAATTCTTTCACATCTTCCAACCTGTCTACATAAACTCTTTCTGTTTTAAACGATATTAAAAGTTTTACTATGTACTCTTCACGCGACGTTAATTGCTAATTATAATTATAAAAATTAGAAATGAATATTAATATGAATTAGAACGTATTTGATGAAATATAAAATCAATATAAAAGTAGTATAATAATTGTAGAAATTACAAAAAAATTTTACTTGAAATTATATAGATCAAAATAAATAATATCTTTTATTTATCATTAAATTTTTTTAATTTTTATAATAATCATTATATATATATATATATACACACACACACACACTGCACATACATATATATTCTATAACTTGCGACTTGACTTCTACTCATGTGCTTCTACTTGTGTTTGTGTTTACAAATACAAGCAATGTTATTATCTGTTTTCTCTTATTACTACTATCGTACTGTAAAACAGTTTATTTTAATCCGTATCAATGTTAAGACATACTACATAAGAATACATAAACATGATCCTCTGTTTAGGATCACACAATTTAATGTTTTCACGACAAGTCGTTTGTATCAAAAACACTATCCAAAATCGCTATTATCCTGATCACTGTATAAATGTAAGAACAAAACGAAATCTTATCGAAATTTATCCTTTTCGGTCTATTTTAAATGATAAATAAATATAAATGTATCGAGTAGGTTTCAAAAGTTGTTTCTATCAGAGACTCATAAACAGAAGCTGTACTGTACATTTTTAAATTATTATTTTACAAGATAACACTTCAGTTCGTTGCATATAAATATATATATATACAGCTTAATAAGAACAATTAACAGGGCTCTAAGTCAGTTACAAAGTACATATAAGTATATTTTATTTACTCATAATCTTTTAAAGTTACGAACATCAACATATTTTTGTTTTTAAACAGATATCTATAATCTTTTTCTTACATATATAGTAAAGGTTATTTTCGATGAAAATTATATTTAATAAAAAAATTGTTACTATGTATCGTTTACGAGATAATCGACATTTTAACCATTAACTTTTTTACTAGATAAAATTTTTATTTAAAATGATCACTACTTCATAAATATATAAAAATAAATTATAAGTATCCATTTTCAAAAACTATTTTGATTTTTATGAGTTAAAAGAAATGTTTACATATTCTTCTTACTGTTTCAGAACTGTGCAAATTTTTCTTATAACTTCGATTAGTCGCAAGATATTTCCTCAGATATCTATGCATGGATACTCTATATGTATATACATAGATATATATGTGTGTGTGTGCGCGCGCGTATCTACATATGTGTACGTATCTATAAGTACACACACACAGAGAGAAAGAGAAAAAGAGAGAGAGAGAGAGAGATAGACAAATAGCAGACAGACGTTACCTGTATATATGTGTAGGTATATAGATATATATATATATACACACAAACTTATATGCATACACACACATACAAACATATGTAGATACATATAAGTATATATATATATATATATACACATATATTTGTATACAATATTGTATAGGAGTATATTATAAGGATTATATAGGAATATTGTAAGAAAGGGACATTAAAACTTTGTTAACATTATTTACTGGTATATAGAATTCAACTTCTCAATAACATATTCGATCCGAAACGTTAGTGTGACACGTTTTTTCCAATCGAGCCCCCGTAAAAGACCACCGCTTGTATTATTTTGTAAACAAATCTCAAATATCTGGAAACAATATACTTCCTTTGAGCATCCTTAAAACGTCCTTAGACTAGATCGAAACAATTTGTATATATTATATGATAAAACGTATCATTTTCGATAGTGTAATATATATCGATCGTAAAAATGAAAACAAAAATCACGTAATAATATTTTATGATCTTGTGTACGTGATTTCGTTGTAACTAATCTTTTTGTTAGAAACCTTTTGTTACACTTTAACGATTTACATTCTCGGTATACGTAAATTAAATTTCAAGACAATCCTGTAAATGAGATTTCGAAACTGTAAATGAGAAACGATGATTGCGAAATAAACTCTCGAATAACATGATCGATGCATTTAACGCAAAATTCTGTTCTATAAAAAATAATTGGATAGACAAAAACAAAATAAATCGAAAATCAATAAAAAAGAAAACCAAAAGGAAACAAGGCTTATATTGTATCGTTTCGAAAACAATCGATGGATTAAAAAATAAAGTCTCTTTTTTTGTTTATTTGTTTGTTTCATCGTAATAAATTTAAATCGATGTTTTACGCGTAACTTCGCTGCTTTTATCTCGACGATCGATCGAGAACGACTGTAAAAACAAATCTTGCTTTTACGATAAAACCAAACGTGTCGTTACCACGTGCTGCAATCTCTCACGACATTGTAGCAGCAATAAAAAAATGTTCTTTTGAACTTTACACGAGTGTTACGATGCCATTTGGAAAAAGAAAAGTTTGCGAGAAAGGTACTCGGAGTATCTCGGACACGATCTCTTTCACGAATTAAAAGAATATATTTTTTTCTATTTCGCATTGTAGTATATAAAATACGTTTAAAATATTTCTTTAACTTACAACTTAACGCGCGTGTATTTGTGTGTGTGTGTATGTGTGTGTGTGTGTGTGTGTACGAGGTGAGATAAAAACTTCGTTCATCTAATATATCTAATTTATTTGTAATAACATAGAAAAATGTTACGTACAAAATTTAAATGATAGAAAGGGGACATAATGTGTTATGATAAAATATATTTTCTTATATTATAGAAGATGTTCGAAGTATTGACTATTTGTGTCAATGTAAAGTTGTAATCTTTGCTATCATCTTTGAATTTTGCCAGCTCATACCATAGTAATTTGTTGTCTCATATTTTTCGTTTTAATTGGTATTTATCGATGGACAACATTTTTGAGTACTCCTCAAAAAAAGAAATTTAATGGGGTTAATTCTGGAGAAGAAGCGTAACCACGAAACGTTCTATTCATCGATTTGAGCAAAGTTCATTGAGTAAAGTTCATCTTGATTATATATTGACGTTTTTTATCTCAGTAATCAATTGATATTGACTATCAATATTCCACACAATGTCCCCATAATGTTACGTTGCGTATGTATTATTAAAGTAATTGCGTAAGTAATCTATTTATACAAAACTAAACTTTTGCTGGAATCAATCCAGTTATGATAATCGAAATAATCCATAAATCGAAAGTAATAATAATTATTTTATGATCTTCAATAACCTTGAATGACTTTTAATGTTAACATATTGAAATCGTCATAACAACGGTTATAATATAGAAAAAATAAAAATATAAAATATATTTAAAAAAAAAAGAAAAGATTGACCTAGATATCTCCTCTACATCTCTACTCTTGGTAAAAGTATTTATATCATCCAACTTTTGTATATAATATTTTTCCAAATTTTTACAAATAACTTTTAATTAAATAAATATATTAAAAAATATATTTTTATTTAAACCGATTCAAATGAAAAAGAAAATTAAAGACAATTAGATATTTACATACATATTTAACATAGAATTGGGTCTAAAAATACGTATTTCATTCTCAAAAAACAAATTATTCCTCTTCGCATGAAATGTTCCTAAGATTAATGAATATTATACAAAGATATCATATGTAAAACGTTTGGCTTGTCCGATACAAAGGATTTTATCTAACTCACAGGAATAAAATGCGTTAGAGAAAGATAACTGAAGAGGGAGAGGAGGAGAGAAAAAGAGAGAGAGAGAAAGAGAAAGAGAGAGAAAAAGAGAAAAAGAGAGAGAGAGAGAGAGGGATGGAGATTTCGAGAATTCTTAATTATCTTCGAGTAGTATAAATCACGAACGATACGGCGAATACGTAGACAAAAAAGTAGACGCAAATTACTGCTGCGAGAAAGAAATGTCACGAGAGAAAAAAGAAAAAGAAGAAAAAGAAGAAGAAGAAAAAGAAAAAAAAGAGAAGGAAGAAGAACGTGGGCGAACTGATGGGGAAGTAAAGAAGAAAGAAAAAAGGAGAGCGAAAAGGGTTTTGAAATGGTTTTTTTCTTTCTTGCCACTTCTTTTTACTACCATCTCGTGATGAACCTTAAGACCATTATACACGCGTCTATCTTTCGCGGATCGTCTGGCATGTAAATGAGCCACCACCTAGTTTACACCGTAATGGAGAGAAAGGAAGAGAAAAAGAACGATCAAAGTGTACTGCATTCTTGTTAAACGTGTTTATGGTACTTCTTGTAATTCTTTGAGTTGTTACAATGGATAACGTTACCATGAGATCAACTACATCGAACTTTTATCGACTTTCTATAATTGTCAAAGGAATTGAATGAAATTCGTACATAAGTAATAAGATGTTCGTACTATCATATATTTTCATTATTTTCCCATTCTTTCTATTTTTTTTTTATTCGTTTTTCTATGAGATATACAACGGTTCAGATGGATTCTTAATCGTGAATTAAGTACGTAATACTTATGTTGATATTTGCAACTTTTTTTGACATTAAAAAATAATGAAGGTGATCTCAATTTTTTTTTCTTATACTTATCACTTAAAATAAAATCGATGGTTATAGTAGAAATACGAACATTCTTTATAAAAAAGTTAGTTATGATAAAAAAAGATAATATTAATTTGAATTTATTTAAACTAATAAATATAAAGACAATCTCATTTTCATTTTCAATCTTCATTCTCATTGAAGTTTCTACGTCCATTATTCAAGAAATTTCTGTAGAACCTTTAAAAAAATTTTACATGATTCCAATGTTATCAAGGACCTCAAAATACAATAAAACAAACAGAATTCTCTTTAAACCTATAATCACCTGATATGAGAAAGATAGAGAGAAAAAGATTTGTTATTCTGCATAAATGAAAAACAATATACCTATAATTGACTAATATGAGAGAAAAAGAGAAAATTTTTATAGTTTTAAAGTTATTCTATAAAGATTGGGACACTCCAAATAGGCCATTTGAATAATTTTTATGGAAAAAATACTCAGTACAAAATTATACTATTTCAAAAACCCATGTGCATCTTCACTTACGAAAAAAAATAAAATCATGAATATGTAGTCCACCGTTAAATCATTTATCTTTGTTCTCTAACATTTCCTTTTAACTTGAACTAAAAAAAAAAAGATGAATATGGCTTCTTACAGTTGCATGACTTTTGTTCGATATTAAACAAATGTTTGGCAAATTAATCATTTTTCATTCAGAATGAAACCAAAAATCAATTCATGCAAAAGTAATCATGTCCTCCTCTGAAATAATGTAACTTTATCCTAAGCATTATTTATTTTTTCCATAAAACCAAAAATAATAGAATTATTCAGATGGCCTATCTTAAGTATCCCACATTTTATAAATCAAAACCAGTACAATGTTATATCTTACTAATTTTGTTTATTCTTTTTGTAAATAAACAATTTAAAATATGATTTGTTTTTTAAATACTTTAACAAAAACCAACAAATCAGAATAAAGATTAGGAAAATTATGAACAGCAAGATATAAATGTCGTAAAAATTTTGTTCTATTCGAGTCAAGAATCTCCCAGGGAAGCCAAACTTTTCCAGGATATCGAGTGATACATTCCATATACCAAACTGCTAAATCGAGTGGTGGAACAGGCCGATCGCGAAATTCACATAATAGTTTCTTCATATTTTATGAATATCTAGAAAATGATATTAGATAATTTTAGTACTATTGTAGTCGAGTAGGATTTTTCTAATCTTTCGATAAACAAATCGATTACTTAGGATTGTAAATAATTTCTTTCAAAGTTCGTTTCACAGTATCCATTGAAATTTCTTCATAGTTCAAATACATAGTCACTCCCTTTTCTATTAACATTTTAATATTCGATTTTTGATCCATGAAAATTCATAGACATTCCAATCATTAGAAGACCATGCCAAATTGCTTCATGAGGGCTCAAAAGACCAACATGCGTCCAAACAAATTTAATATTTTTATGAGCTATTAACAAAAGAGATATATGTAAGCCATGAAGATATTTGACTCGATCGAAATACTGCGATACGTAAGTATTTACTTAAAATGTCATTTTGCGGTATCCAATCCAAAACCAATATGTTTTTCGACAACTGTACATCGACAGTCTTCTCTGACACCTTTCAAATAATTTGTTGTTTATATTTTGAAAGAACGCACGCTATGATCTTCACAGTATCCAATTTTATATTATTCCATGCCATGTTCATTCCCATAGATATAACAATGGCATCGTCTTCCGCATCATCGAAGAATTTACGTATTATCTGCCGATTAAATATTTATATCATAATCCATTGTAATTAAAACATAAGAATTATAATTACATTGTCACGGATCGGTTGAGTAATCTGTGCATGAATACCAGCTATTTCAAAAGAGTTTGGTGGAAATGGTATAGCATGTTTGAAAGAGTGATACGTATTAATGAAGACAATATTAATATTTTTTTCATATTCCGATAATGGACGTAATTCTTTTCCAGCTATAGTTTTTCTATTTTTGATTAATTGACAACATATAATAATGACAAAATAAATCGTTTAATAAATTCAACGAATAAAATTAAGAGTCCTATCCCAAAGAGTCACTGGTGTTTCCATGTACATGTGAACATACGGTCTGATGCAAAATAACTTAATTCGCCGATATAGTCCTTCAATCATGGTGCATTACCAAAAGAAATGTAGTCGATAACGGGTAGATTACCTTTTACAAACTACAATTTTTCTTTATATCAAATATGTCGAATGAATTTATTTTAAAACGGCGGGATATTTAATTATTTAAATTTCTATAACTCTACTTTTTTTTTCAATGTTTAAAAATATAATTATATAATTAAATACATTTATACTATTAATTTCATATATAATTATTTATATATAAATATAATTTTTTATATATGAAATTAATAGTATAAATATATTATACTAAATATAAATTATAATATAAGCTAAAAATAAGTTACATTTAGTAAATTAATTTTCGATTATGAACTAACGATTAATTTTATAGTGAAAAAATGAAATCGAACTTAACTCTTTGCGAACGAAAACTTTGAACCATAAGTACTTCTCAGTCTGATATATTCTTTGTATAAATATATATCGAGATATGCAATATCGTTTTTCACGAGGAATAATTTCACTATATAGTTACTGTATAGTACTACCTATTATTCTACCTAATAACATCTATCAGTACTCTGGAGATTGTATACTTCTACATTTTTTTTATCTTCATAAAGACCAAATACAAATTCATCTTCTTTACTACTGCTAATACATTTATTATCAATAAAATTGCTAATAATAATTTTATGAAACAATATTTAGTCTTTCTAATCAAAACAAAATTAAAATAACGCTTTTCCCGCTCTACTTCTAGTGATATTGCGTATTGCAATACAAGACAAGATAAGAAATATATTATATACACAATATGTTATAATAGAATTAAAAATTATTGCGAAATAGGGAGATACAAATATAATTATCTATATGACTTCAAAAATATGTAATGTTATAAAAATATATTTTATTTTAATAATAACAATAATAATAATAATAACAATAATAATTAATCGATAAATTAATCGATAAAGGATAATTGTACCTTTCATAATTCGTAAAAATAATTCACCAGAGTCACATTTTGCACGATAATGTCGAACTTTATTGTTTTTACCAATTCAAAAGTATTTTTAGTAGTTGGATGAGATATGATCTTTTCACATATGAAATTCAATATGTTATGTGCAAAATACATCGTGTATAAGAGATTATAGGTGCTCCATATTGTTGAAAATACTCATCACGTTATCAATTCGTGCATTACATCATCGAATAATTACATCATCCTGGAAAATAGTTTTATGAAAAATAATCAGATTTATCGAAAAGTTTTATCCGTTTTTATAGTAAAATAAAATAAAAAATTTTGGTACTTTTTATTAATATATAACCAACAATGTTATTTCTATTTATTTTTTTTTTTACTATAATTGACTTGAAATATTTGAATTTTTCTTCGATAAACCAACACTAACGTCATTAAAATTACTAATTCACTTTTTGGTAGATTTAATATTTCATTAATTCATATTTTTCGTTTTATTAATGCCATCAATGATATTTTTACATACTTTATGTGTATAATTTTGCGCCACATTATCATCCACCTTTAATGTATGGATACTCGTGAAATGATGACTTCTTCGGTGCAACTCCTTTACCAAACTTGAGACCCAAATGTAATGACAGGTCGAGATTACAAGTTCAACTAGTAAAATCGATAATGCAAATAATTTAATTGCGATTAATGTTAAAATAAAACAAAACAATAGATATTTCATTACGTCTACAAAATTAATAGTTTCGATAAAAGAACTTGCAAAAGCTAACTTTCATATAAATGCAACGATAAAAATATATTTAAAATATATTTAACTCAAAAATAGATAAGATAAATAAAGTAAAAAGATAATTTTAAACAATTTCAGTCATAAGGTCTATACATATTGTTATAATGAGATGCTCGGATAATGGTAAATATAAATACTTTATGATTTATATTTTTTTTATCTTTAGTTTTTATTCTATAATATACAGCCAACTTAGACAACTTGTAAATAACAAAATGACATTTCATTAACGACTACAAATCATTTTATATACAGAATATTTATATATACAGATAATATATATATTTGAAATTAGACATCATAGTGTTATCATGTACGAATGAGATATGATTATATAAGAAGAAAACGTTTATACAAGTCCATGCTATGGTCATACCCCTCTGTAGAGAGACCAGTAAATAAGTAAAATGTCCACAGCTAGTAAATGTAATCGGAGACATTCGGGACACGGTATGGATTACGTATACACTGTTACATATAAAACTATAGAAATCAATTCGAGTCCGATGCACGGCCGGGACATGATTCTATATAAATGGATCTCTACCCTTTAATTTTATATCGTTTTATTGTTTATAAGCCATGCATTAAGAATATGTTACAGAATAAAGACTAAATATATCAATACAAAATATAAAATATTCATATTTCCCATTATCCGAGTCTTCCATTAATATAATCTAATAATTACGAATGTAGACGTAATGTATACGATAATATAATAATTATGAATGTATGTAGAAGTAAAATTATGAAAAATTATCTTTCAAACTTATTTATTACCTTTCTTTTGTGGCTCCCTCTTCCTATAAATCAATCAGTAATTGATTAGAGATATTTTGTACATGGCGACATTGTCTCAGTCGATACATTAGTTCTTACAACAACAATGTATTAGACTGCCGTCGTGTCGTCATTAATATTTTTGAAATCGAAAATACGTTTAAATATCAATTATAAAACAGGTGATTTGCACTTTTGTTATTTTTATATTTATGTTTTATTTTTAGTAATCTCCAACAGAGGGCAATAAAAGCGACCCTAGGTGCGTCAAGTCAATTCTCTAATTCTCACAATCATGAGTATTACGCTTTAATGTGGTAGAGTGCATCATCTGTCGGTAGCATGTTGAATTAAACGAAATCGTCAACACGAACAATCTTTATTTCGTTTGACAGATAATTTCAATCATTGTAGACGTAATAACGATATTGACCTTGTAACAAACAACATATTTGAAAAAAATAAGAAATATAAATATGGATAACAAATGTGAAACCGTAAAGACTAACGAAGAAATCATAGAGGAACTCACGAAAGATCTGGAAAGTTCCTGTATAAAAGAAGATGAAATTTCAATGGCCAAAGAAATTCAATATCAATCGAGTGAAAGAAATAAAAATAATTTTTCAGAGGAACCTTTGAAAGATATAATTAATAATGATGATCCGGATAATAACGAAAAGAATGACAATGCAGATTGTAAGAAGGCTGCTGGAGACTCGATAGATGAAAAATTTCTTGAAGAGAGAGATAAAAACCTCAGTGAAGCAGAGAAAGAAGTTAGTCACTTTCTTTTTCTTTTGGAATAATTTTTTTAATTTAAATGATTACAATATGTGTTATTGTTTACAGAGTTTTAAAGATGAAGCAGAAAAACTTAAAAACGAAGGCAATACTTTTTTTAAAGATGGAGAATATATGAAAGCTATATCTCTGTATACGCAAGGTTTACAAACATGTTCTTTAATGTATAGTAAAGAACGAGCTATTTTGTATTCTAATAGAGCAGCAGCTAAAATAAAATGTTTGGTTAGGATTCTTTATTCATTTTTTTTTCTATTTTATTTAGTATATATTAAATTAATTTATCATGTATCTTTGTAGGCTGAGAAAGAATCAGCTATATTGGATTGTACAAAAGCGATTGAATTAAATCCAAGCTATGTAAAAGCTTACGTAAGGAGAGCACAATTATATGAAGAAACAGAGAAATTAGATGAAGCTTTAGAAGATTATAAAAAGATTTTAACATTTGATTCTAGTCATACCGAAGCTAATTATGCAGTTAGAGTAAGTTACATACATTTTGATCACTCCGACTACCATCAAAATGATTTATTATAACTTTTACATTATTTCAGAGGTTACCACCTTTAATACATGAAAAAAATGAAAAACTGAAGGCAGAAATGTTGGGTAAATTAAAAGACCTTGGTAATATGGTATTGAAACCATTTGGTCTTTCCACAAATAATTTTGAATTGCAGAAAGATCCAAATAGCGGTGGATATTCTGTAAAATTTCATCAAGCTCCTAGATAACAAGCGTAAATAAATGTTGTAAAACAAAAATATACGATCTGGAAGAAATCAATGAACAGAACCAGACATATTTATAATAATTTATGCGAATTTCGCTAAGTTCTTCGTTCCTTAAAAAGATGTATACATTGTGAACATAAATAGCTAAAATAAACATAAAATCGTAATAAGTGAAATAAAACCGAAGATTTCAATTACAAGTAAAAATCGAAAAAATAATTCAACATATTGAATGAAGTTTTAACTAAACAGTATGAAGTTAACCAATTGATCGTATCGTTTTTAGATGTTCCGTTAACCTCTTCATTAATTGTAAATTCGTAACGCTTTCAGAACTTATATTATAACACTTGTAGACCGATGGACGCGATGTAAGTAAACTAAAAATATTTCTTTTAACCGCTATAAATATTAATAATAAATTTCCAACGATGATAACCAAAGAATGGTTGCAAAATAAAATATTAATATGAACGATAATTTATCGAAAGAACAATATTGTCTGTTACGTGGAATCCATTACGTTAAAATGGCATTTTTAAGATAATAGTACGAAAAAAATATAGGCAAACGAACGGCCCATATTAATCTAATCGAATAGCAAAAAGTGAATGAGTGGAAAGTTAAAAAAGATAACAGCCAATTGCATGTCGACGATTCGCGCATGCGCAATATGTTATATATATATTTATTATGTATCACATATGCAAGGGAGTGCATTGCATTTTTTGCGCCTTGTATATTTAACTTTGTGGAAGGGGAAGCAATCAAACGAAGGGGAAGTTGCACCCACCACCTGCAGTAAAGCAGCGCGCGCGGTTAGAAACGGTTGAATGTTTGCGCACGACTTAATGTTGTTTTACTTTTTCATCGGTCGAATGGAGAAACAATAAACTATTCTAAAAAGGAAGGCTTTACAAAAAATCTCATCGAAATAGAAATTATTTAGATACATTGAATCGCGAGCGCGACTATATTCGTCGATAAAATAGAATGCGATAACGGACCGATAAATAACGATTAAAAACGATGATTGTTCTCTTGCGTTACGTCGGACGAATGACGTCACAAAAAGGATGACCGCGTGGGTGTCTCGCGAATCGCTTCGATTCTCTGACTGGGTTGAATTTTCAAATACAATTGATCCGTAGCAAATGCGCGTAACAAGAGATTTGGAAGGAAATAAAGAACAAAAGAGGAAAAATTCTTCGATTGGTCGGTGTCAAAGAGAAAGAAGGAAAAAAAGACAGAGAGAGAGAGAGTGAGAGAGAGTAGTGAGAGGGAGAGAAGAAAAGCCGAATAGTAATAGTAGTAACATGAAGTACTATATTTCATCTACGAATCGATAATTCGAATAGGCACAACGAGTTGCGATATTAAGGTCCATCGTCCAATTCCTAAAAATATCGAACATTACAACGGGTAAGATTCGATAGCCTTATTCACCATCCCTTTTCCCTTCTCTTTGCTCTCCTGTTGTCTTCTCCCTCTCCCTCTCCTTCTCCCTCTTCTAATCCTCCTCTTTCTCCTCCACCTCCGCCTCCTACGAGAATTCTCTGTCGTATCCACTCGAGAGTGACACGGTAGAGTTCGCTCGAGGAGGAACCCACCCCTAATTCTCGTTTCCTAACCGGCCTCCTCTCTCTCTCTCTTGCCCTCGCCCTCGCCCTCACGCGGGCCGGCCGTGTGCGAGCTAACGGTGTGCAATCGTCTCGCAATACTACCGAATATCGCGATATTGACAAGGACGACGAGGATTGAGAGGAGGAGGACGATAACTACGACATTCTCTAACATAGACGATTGACAACATGTGTGACGTCGCAAACGAAAATGAGGTAAGCTATCACATTCGTTTCTTATAATGATTCTTTTCTTTTTTTTTCTTTTTCTTCTTCCTTTTTTCTTTCTCTTACACTCTCTCTCTCTCTCTCTCTCTCTCTTTCTCTCTCTCTCTCTTTTTCTCTCCCTCTCTATCTCTATCTGTCTCTCTCTCTCTCTCTCTTTCTTTTTCTCTCTCTTTCTTTTTTTCTCTTTCTTTTTCTCTCTCTTTCTCTCTCTTTCTTTCTCTTTCTCTGTCTTTGTTCTTCTGTCTTAATTTAAAGATTTTCTCGGGATTGACAAAGAAATAGACTGTTTAAAACCAGAAAAAAGGGTGAACGCATCGCGCTTAACGATCCGCCGAAGAAACGACAAATATGGGTCACTTTCACTGGCAAGCCACTTGGACGACGGACCACCACGTTCCTCCTCTTCTCTCTCTTTCTCTCTCTCTCTCTCTCTCTCTCTTTCTATTTCTCTCTCTTTCGCTCTCTTTACAATCTATCCGTTTTTTTTGCTCTCATTCTCTTTCTCACCCTAGCTGTGACGTAAAAAAAAGACTAAAAAGAAAAAAGAAAGATAGAAACAAAAAAGGAAAAGAACCTCGTCAAGTGTTTTCCTTTTACATACTCCCTCTTCGTTTTTCAATCTCGAAATTTCGTTCGTGATTTTATTAAAAAAAAAATTTGAGGTAATTGACGGGAGATGATATCCGAAGATATATCGATATTCTTCGATATTAATAACCATCATTGTGTTCGCTTGCGCGCGAGTACGATCGATCGGGAGGAAGTTTACCGATTTGATTTTAACCCCATGAATGATTCTTGACTCACGATTGGTCAGTCCATATACCACGTGATTATCAACGAGAATGTAAACGTTAATCGATTGATTGATTGGTTGTTATTGTAAGTTAGTAATACAGAAACGTTCGTATGAATTTTCTACAACTCGCGATGGAATATTTCTCGATGAGAATTTATTTTATCTGTTTTTATTATTGATTCAAACCCTTTTCGGACAACCGTGCGCGCGCGCTTGTTCTTTCTCTCTCTCTCTCTCTCTCTCTCTCTCTCTCTCTCTCTCTCTCTCTCTCTCTCTCTCTCTCTCCTTTTTTCGCACACATGCCGTTTCGAAATTATGTTTTTAAAGAAACGTATCGTTCGTAAATTGTTTATCGTTAAAATGTCATTTAAAATATAACAAAAAAATTTTTCTGATTTATTATTAACAAAAGAATAAGATACAATACATTATTTTACATTTTTCAATTTAAATTTTAAATGCGTTCGTTTTAATTATTTAATTATTTAATTATTTAATTATTCTTAATAAGACAAATAGTTTATATTATAGCAGCTTGTATTTACATCATTGAAGAAATAACTTATGACAACTTACGTCATAACATTCTATTTTTATGTTTTCCATTCATAAAGATACATATTACTTGCGGCACGAGTTATAGCTTCCATTGATATTGGCCATCGTATGACTTTCTGTGCTTTTATCTTAATTATATATTTAAATGAAAGCACGTGCACCTATATATATATATAGCTATATATTTCATTAGACATTAAAAATAAATCGAGAATAATAAAAATAATAAAAATTAATAATCAAGAAGATAGTGTAAAAAGAAATAACTACGAAAAAAAAGAAAAAAAAATTGAAACGATCGAAATTATTATCAAAATTTTACACTGTCCTAGTGCACCAATTAGAAAAATAATCCCGAAAGAGGAACTGCTTACAATATGTTTACATTATGAATCTCTTATCTTAGGCTCAATTTACGCATGCGATGCCGACGCACCATCGATCTGCCTCAACAGCATTACATTTAATAACATTGCACATTATTACAGACGAATATTTGTCGATCGTACGTGCGTTAAGCGGAATGCATTCTAAAACAAATAATGAAAATAATAAAAAGTCATGAAAATATGTATGCCGAAAATTAATTAATATTGAATCATTGATTGATCAATTCTTATGGATTATTTGCATTTGGATTGTCAAAATCAATTCTTCTTACTATATATCTACGTTTATTATCTCTATTGTTGATCTTCTATTGATATTAAATGAAAAATGTTAGGAGAATCTGTACGTAGAAATAAACAAAAATGAATTTCAACAACTGAATAGCCGGTAGGGTTTATAGCAAGAATATATAACGTTACATAGAAAGGTTAATTGAGAAAAAGGGAAAGACAAGAACGCTGTCTTTTCATCGTAACTCTCTTCTAATATAGAACGTTCAATGTCGTCCTACGCATCGTCTTCGTTTTCTATAGAAGAAAATAGGATTATTTTCTCTCTCTCTCTCTCTCTCTCTCTCTCTCTCTCTCTCTCTCTCTCTCTCTCTCTCTCTTTCTCTCTCTCTCTTTCTTAAGGCAACTCGAAAATAGGATATACGTAAGCCAAATAGGAAAAAGTAATTGCGAAAGAGATAAAATAGGAATCTACACTCGATGATCAAAGATACGTGCATATCATATCATCTTTTATACACCTATACGTGGTTGTGATATTGTGTATACAGTGGTTGGAAAATGTATTGATATGATTCGATAATTTCAGGTAGGAATAGGAACAACCGCAAGAGAATAATTTTGATCAAGGATTCATTAAATTGTAACATAAAATCCCAGAGAATATTTGAAGAAAATATGAAAGGATACCGAAGAAAGATTTCTTTTTTACCTTTTTTTTTTAAAAAAAAAAAGAAAACAAATTCATTCTGACCTTCAATAGTTTGTTAATTTAATTAAAAGAAAAAAGTAAATTATCGAAAAAATATCGTTAAATGCACTCGTAACTTAAAAAGTATGTATTTATTGACTTTGTTTTTAATTTCCAGAAAATGAGGTATCGGTATGGTCGTGCCTCAATACATCGAAGAAAATGGCCCTTGCGATTGGCATTTTTTCTTGTCTATGTTCTCGTGCAATTTGTGGCCTCCTCGAAGTTACCAATCACATACTCACCCTCGTATCCGGCCTCAACGGAGTACGAAGAAAGTTCGACGTTGGAATCGACTGTATCCTCTTACTATCCAACATCGACCGAATTCGAATTAACGTCCTCGATAATGCAAACTTCGATACCAGCATCAATTTCCGGTGAACATCCATCGAAAAATACGAAGGAATTGAAGAATCCTACAAAGGAGAGAAATAAGAGTGAGAAGAATAATGAAAAAACGAATGCAAAATCGAGGATTCGTGAACAAACAAAGGAAGAATCTAAAGAAAAAGAAACAGAAAAACCAATGAAGGCGCCCGTTGCAGCAGCAGGTGTAGCAGCCGGTGCAGCTACAGCTGCAACCAAAACAATTCCTATCACTACCGCTGTAAGTTTTGAATCTTCTAAATTTATCGAGAAAGTCGAATGTTCGTTACTCCTGATTCCTCTGATAATCAACATTGTTAATAATCATGATCATTAATTGACAATCATTTTATAGACTATTCCCACGATACGAACAACGACTGCTGAATACGTTCATCCTACATGGAGACCAAGAAGAGAAAACTGTTCACCACCTGCTATCGAACAGTTCCCACGTCCTTTGATGGGCCCTGAAGCAAGAAAACATGGCGGACTTATCATACACGTTCTTGTTGCCGTCTACACGTTTCTTGGCTTGGCAATCGTCTGTGATGATTATTTCGTTTCTAGTCTTGACAGAATTTGCGAAGGTATGTGTGTATATGCGTGTGTAAGAGTGTATATATATAAACTCGTGAACTTTATTCACAAAGGAATGATGAATCTTTTATATTATACCGATTGATACTTTCAATGATTTTGTCACGGTGCTACGTAGCTCAAGAAGAAAGTTTAAACTTCTTTCAGAGTTAAGATTATCGCCAGACGTAGCAGGAGCAACTTTCATGGCTGCTGGATCTTCAGCACCAGAATTGGCCACGGTCGTCATTGGAGTTTTCTTCGCCAAGGATGACATTGGAGTAAGTACGATTGTCTGACATATATTTATAGTTCGCTAACCATGCAATGTATCAGTTTTCACGATTGATTCAACTTGTTTATCATTTCTCAACATACATATAAAATGTACTTATTGAAAGCCAACTATTTCTAACGCAAGAACTATATAAATCAAATTTAACTTATCTATATTATATTTAGGTATACCCTACATTTGCATTAATTATTGTTTTAGGTTAGTGGAGTCATCGGTAGCGCTGTTTTCAATATAATGTTCGTTATATCCGTATGCGGTCTCTGTACAACAACTGTTTCCAAATTGAACTGGTGGCCTCTTGTACGAGATTGTTTCTTCTATGCTGTCTCTATTCTGGTGATGCTCGGTACAATCTACAATGAAACCATATCTTGGTGAGTATTTTTTCTTTTCATTACCCACGAACGTATTCTATTACCTTATATGCTTCATATATGATTACATAACTTTTCATACTTCTTGAATGCACTTTTTTTTTTTACTTTAGGATGGAGTCACTCTTCATGTTGGTCATGTATGCGGTATATTGCGTAGCTCTCTCGTTTAACGAGAGACTTGAGCAATGGGCGAAGTCGTACAATATTCCATTTTTACCCAAGGACGACGAGCCAGCTGAAGAAAGTGCTTTGGTTAGTTATAGATCCTTGCAAGAAGATCGATTATCTTACACGGGGCCTAATTCACCTGTTATCGAACAGGCTGCGCAAATAAAGAATCAGGAAGGTGAAATATCTTTATGTCAAATACTTTTTCTAAGAATCCAAAAGTATTTTTCTTAAGTAATATGTTATTTTTCAGGAAATGGTATTCAAGAAACCTGTGAACAACCATCAATTCCAAAACCAACACCCCAATATTACAAAGCAAAAGAACCTGATCCAAACGAAGTGTCGCCACTCGTAATGCCTACAGATGGAAATAAATGGAATATTTTCACATGGGGTCTCGTGTATCCTATTCATTTCATGTGTCGAGCCACTATGCCAGATTGTAGGCAAGAAAGGTTTCGAAGTTGGTATCCTTTCACCTTTTGCGTGTCCATGGTGTGGATAAGTTTCTACAGCTACATCATGGTCTGGATGATCACTATTATAGGTAATTTCATTTTCGATCAATCTTTGATCTTATTTTTCCTTGATAGAAAACAAACAAGAAAAATTTACTTACAGGTAGTACACTTGGTATTCCTGACACTGTGATGGGTCTGACTTTCGTCGCAGCTGGAGTTAGCGTACCAGATGCTCTTTCTTCTTTAGCTGTGATAAAAGAAGGTCTTGGTGACATGGCTGTGAGCAATGCTGTTGGTAGCAATGTCTTCGATATTCTTGTATGTTTGGGTTTACCATGGTTCATACAAACAGCGATGATACAGCCGGGTTCTCATGTCAATGTTACTAGCAGGGGTACTGATTTGTTTCCTACAAATCCTACAAATTGAACTTATCGATCAATCGTTTTTAATTATATTCTTTCTTTCTTTTTCAAAGGCCTAACATATTCAACTGTCTCGCTACTCTCGACGGTAATATTTTTGGTAGTTGCGACACATATGAACGGATGGAAGTTGGATCGACGATACGGTGTAGTACTGATGGCATGGTACTTAATATTCATTATCTTCGCATCACTCTACGAACTCAACGTCTTCGGAGAGATGAATCCACCAGTATGCCCAAGCTTCTTTTAAATGTAAGGACATCGTTGATAAAAAGTTTTTATGAAAAAGACCATCCAAGACTCATCTTGATATATTTTAGGGAAAACAGAAGAGACAAAGAAGAACAAATATAGCTACGAAGTGGAAGGAGACACACCATTGAAACTTGCCCTGGAATTGATGCGCGATAATCCTTCGAAATAGCCACTTGCGATCGATTAACTTTTTAGGCAAGGGCAAAGCTAATCGAAGAGAGGAGCAAGAAAAAAGGAATATTAAAACAAAACAAAAAAAAGAAAAACTCAACGACATCGAAAAGAAGAAATAGAGAGAAATAAGAGAATTAATCAATAATGTCGTTTACATCTACTTTTTTTTCAACTACTAAGCGTTCAAGATAGTACGAAAGCATGAAAGTAGTAGAAGACGAAGACACGCTGTATTACCGAGCCCCGCATGAAAGATAGAGTTTTTTTGGTGCTACATACATTATACATTATAAAAATATCTCGAAATAGTATATTGCTGACACTAATCGTTTGTACAGCTCGTGACTCGTATAGCTCCCTTCAGAATCGGGAGAATTTCTTCCAACGATCGATCGATCGATCGAGAACGATCTTCTCGAAATAAATTTTGTAATCGAGCGATCATCATACAGCCGATAGCTTCCATTTGAATATTAAATCTAAATTCGACGACATCGAATATATTGGCCTAAAGCCAATAATCACTCGAATTTTCCTCGTCGCTTTTTTGGCGTCGGGTTGAACCGAGAAGACAATACAATTATCAGTATTAAGACGCACTTGTTATTCGACAAGCATAAAAAAACAACGGCAGATGGTCGGACGACGAATCGATCGTATGATTTGCATCGTTTTTTTCTAACGAGCACAACGACGATGCCATAAAGGATCTATACCGGCACTTGAAAAGAAAGAAATCCTTCTCGAAACGATTGATTGATTCGTGTACGTACAAGTTACACGTATTATGAAATAAATGTTAATAATTATTTTTTAATTTATTTACTTAAGAATCCTCGTGTCAGCCATATAGAATTATCTTAGATACTCATAAGAATTATTATACTTTTATTGTCAGATTCTATTATAGTTATAATTATTATTATATTATACTTATCGTAATCAAGTTTTCATCGAAAGGAACGCACCATCGAAGAAGATAACATTTTTCAAACCATATTCCGAGAAAATTTGGGTTTTTTCGTGAACAACAAATGTCTCATTATCTTCGATGATTTTAATCGTTTTACGAGACGACGGATGCGAGTGTTTTTGTCGCGTTCCTGTGTTCATCATTTATTTACATTATCGTTCGGTTTTCCCTAATTTCATCGAGTCAACATCGATGAATTATCATCGACGTTAACACTAATTTATTAACACTAATTTCATTAATCGCTCGTCCGTCCGTTGTTCTGAAAAACTTAAGATATCCTGTATTTAACATTTGACAACGAAAGGTAAACATTCGCGAGATCAAAGGAAATATCTTGTTAATGCGAGCGCGTGATATAAATCGTTATAATTTGCGAGCATTTTTTTTCTTCTGTTGTTCTTTCCATTATTTTTTTTCTTTTTTTCTTATATTTAATAGGACAATTTCTACCGGGCAGATCGAATTTTCGTCAAATCTTTCCTAATCGAAGATGCTTTATGGAATTGCCATTGAAAGATAGTGAATAATGAAAAAAAAAAACAAAATAAACAAATAAAAAATTATATAGAATAAATATATTTCGACGATCGCGATAGAAGGGAAAAAAGGGGAAATACGAGCGCGAAAGTATAAACGATAAAAAAAGACAATAATTAACGCAGCCTTATCCGATGAAAGTATCTACAAGTCTCCTAAAAGGGAAAAAAGAGAAAAGAGAAAAATAAAATAAGAAAGAAAGAAAGGAAGAGGAAAAAAGACCTGCGCGTTCCTTGAGATACCAAATTCGGACGGACCCGATGTGTTCTCGATTTCGAACATTGTTATTGTTGATAGAAAAAAATTAAAGAAAAAATTAAAAAAAAGAAAAAAAATTTAGAATCTCGTGAGATAATCGACATGGCTCCGTTTTCGGGATCCTTTGATCTTTCGATTTCAACGCGCAGGGTGGCAGAGTCCTTTCCGAAAGAAAGTAAACGCGTCTTTAAAAAAAGGAAATAATACTAATAATAATAAACCGAGCCAAAAAGAATTAAAGTATACAAATTTACACAAACTATAAAAGAACAGGAACTCCGACACATTCCGCCTCCGTCGCTTAATAAAGTTATCAGTTAAAAAAAGGAAAAAAAGAAATAAGAAAAACGGGAAAATAATTTATCAACGAAATACTCTTTAAAATTTTGTGATAATATTATTATAATACGATCGATTCGTTCAACCCCACGGACATGCGACCCTGCATGTGATTGTAATGAAAAAGTAAAAAGAAGAAAGAATGCGATTATTTTGAAGCGAAAGATTTTGAACTATTGAGAGAGATATAAGTAAAGAAAAATGAATAGCAAAAATAAAAATGAAAAAAAAATAGAAAAAAGAAAATTAATCCAGTAACCCGTGCGATCCAGGTGATTGCAAGGATCGCGCAGACGCTTTAGAATTTATTATATATATACACACACGCACGCACGCACACACACATACACACGCGCGTACACACAAACACACACATATATACATATATACATAACACGTAAAATTAAAGTTTTATGAGAAAGAAAGGACTTAGACCGTATAACTATATTAATTATTATGATTATTATTCTATTCTTATTCTTCTTCTTATAATTATTAACACCATTAATATTATAAACATTCGACGTGTTTGTTCGCCACTTTTATTCGTTATTATTAGTGTTTTAGACGAGTGTGTATTATAACAAATGTTATATGTATACATACATATATATATATACATATATTATATGTATACATACATATATATATATATATATATATATATATATATATATATATACATGAATGATATGTATACTGCGTGGAGACGTTCGATCATGTCGGAAAAGAAAAGAAAAAAAAAACTAAAAATGCATCCATCCGTGTCAATTAGATTTTCAAAAGTAATCTATCTGCATTTCTCTCTCTCTCTCTCTCTCTCTCTCTCTTTCTCTCTCTCTCTCTCTCTCTCTCTCTTTCTCTCTCTCTCTCTCTCTCTTCTCTCTCTCTCTCTCTCTCTCTCTCTTTCTCTCTCTCTCTCTCTCTCTCTCTCTCTCTCTCTCTCTCTCTCTCTCTCTCTCTCTCTCTCTCTCTCTCTCTCCCTCATCTCCAATCTCAGGTAAAACATTAAGCCTTCCTCCGTGTGTTAGTCGAGAGACAATCTTCCCTTCTAGTTCAACATTGTGAGATTTCGATAAGGGAAATAAAAAGGAAGAAACGAAAGAAATTGATATTTCCGAAAAATTGGACGGACGTCTCACCGCAATGCTTCCGATGTTTTAGGGAAGCGCCGCTCGAAAGTCAAGGCGCTCATTTGTTAGGTATTTAAAATATTATACGCGGACCAGTTAGTCTCTCGATGTGTTTCGTAGAGCATATGAATCAACGAATCACAGATTGTGAGAAGAGAAAGAAAAGAAAAAACGAAAGGAAAGAAAGCTCATCGAGAGCCACATCGTTTCGCAATCGTCGTTACGTATCGGGCATCAACGAAGAGAAAAAATGAGAAAAAAATTATTAAGCTTTTAAGTCGATCGTATTCAGACCTTTTTTCTGTATATATGTATATGTATATACAAAAATATATATACATATATAGAGATAAATATAAATATATATATATATTCAAAAAAATCGTTATATATATATATACACGTATAAATGTGCAGATAATTCCTCTCGATCGTTTATCGATCGATTTCCATGGAAATCGGTAAGCGTTTAAAAAGTCAATAAATAATTATTACGATCATTATCATTATTGTTAATAGTTGTAGCGATAGTAAATAGTATTCGTAGTAATTATAGTAGACGCAGCAAGAGGAGAGAAAATTAAAAGGAAGAGAATCGTTCGATCACAACGAACATACATCGATTCTGATGATGTAGTAGTTTGACTCGTGTTTCAAAAAATAGCGCCCACTCGAAATTTCTAATTTTGATAAAAGGACACGAGATGACATGGGAATTATAGAAGTTCGGTAAAGTCTTTTCAATCAATTTCGTTACTCTTTAGCCCATAGGTCGGCAGCTTATTTACTAAAAAGTGCAAATAGCTGATTTATGACAAAGAACACTTGATTTTTTATATTCTTAACAACCAGTAGCAGTACAAATATTGCTTAAATTAAAATTTAATAAATAAAAAACAAAGCATCCATTCAATATTTAATTACATTAATAATACCAATTAATTAATAATATTAATTCAGTAATAATCAACCCAACTTAAAGATTTTAGCATAAAATTTTAAAGATTTTTTAAAAAGAACAACATTGATTAATCTTATATATATATATATATATATATATATATATATATATATATATATATATATATATGTAAATGTTTTGTAAAACCATTTTAAAAATTATTCACGGGTATTTAGGTAATCCCGTGAACCCCTTGCTGTCGGCCTCTCCTTTAATTTTTCTTCTTTAAAAGATCTTCTATGTCGACAGGTAGAATTAATCAAGAGAGAGACAGAATGTGAGAAGATCGTACGACATGATCAACCTACTAGTGGTTTTATATATTAAATCGTTTTTAGACGAGAAACATTGATCAATTCGTTTGTGTCCTTATTACAATTAGCGTGCAATCGAAGTCAATATACGTATGTATATATACATATAAACACACATAAATACCTGTTAAAAGTTTTTGCTTAAATTCATCCCCGTTCTTGAGATCCCATATGCTTACCGATTGCCTAGGAATCGATCGTTGAAACTATTTCTCAATCTTGTTTCAACTTTCTCACATTATACGATCGTTGTATAAAAAGTAATAGAAGAAGAAAAAAGAAAGAACGAACGATTAACGCGAAATAGAAAACGTAGAGAGTTCGACGAAGATCAATTTATCAATCTACATTAAGGGTAGATTTTGTATTATTCGCGGCCTACGTAAAATTAATTGTTCTACTATTGTCGCAAATAAATAAAGAAAAAAAAGGAAAAAAATAAGAACAAACAAATATATAATTATACATATACATACAGGCACATACAATAAAATATATGTATGTATATTAAATATACATGCGTAGCTGCGATGACAGAGAGCCTCCTCATCACAAAACTCACGTGCATCATCATTCATTGCAAAATCTATATATATATTATTATATCGAAAAAGATGCGATTTAATATTATTCATAACATAATTAGAAAATCGGATAACGAAGAATTTAGTAGATGAATATGAAACCAACAAAAAAAAGGAAATAATAAAGTATAGTAATTATGTACTCTGATGTATTTAAGATGTTTAAACAATAAAGCTATTGCTACCTATTAAACATAATGTATAAAAGAGAATTACGTAGACGAAGAAAATTATTTCGACTACTTTATTTTTATTTAACGAACAAGATAAATTCGAGGATGATTTTCTATTTTTATTTATTTTTCTTTTTATTTTATTATTATTATTATTTTTTATTTCTTTATCGCTCTCCCTTTTGGATAAGATCAATTTGTTTTGAATTCTCTCTTCTCTTGCTGACTTCTTTGATTTCTTTCTTCTCTTGCGTGAGATTTACGTTCGAGCGTGCTTATATTGATCAGTGGTATTTGTATGCGATTGCAAGGTCAACAAGGAGTTCCTCGGCGATGAACAATCGTCGAGAATCTTCTCGAGATCATATAACTTTCTCAGCTTATCTTGAATATGATTTAGATATTCCCAACGTAAGATTTTCAGGTGCCTTACGTAATCTGGCGTACCACGATTGCTCAACAACATCTGCGCCAATGAATCATAATTATCGCTTTGAAGTGCACGACTTATCTCAATGCACAGCTCTTGCCGTGTTATTTCTTCCTTAACCGGATCTCTCTATCGAGGAAATAACAAATAACAAAAAGATAACAATAAATTAGATAGATGGGGATACTTATCGATTAAAATATACTACTTCTAATGAAACTTAATATTTTTGCAAAACGGCAATATTGACTATAATCTAATTGTTCTTATTTTTTTTTTTAATCTTGTTATGTATTTAAACAAAAATTATATAATGTAAAAGTTATAACTATACAATAGGAAGTATAACTTATACTTAATAAATACTAATTTTCGAATATAAAATAACATAAATAACATTAAATTAATTTTGTGACGAAAAAACGAAATAAGATTTAAAAAATACAAATATACGAGAGCGTGATTTGAATGTTATATGACGTTATAGAGGGTTAATCTTCATTTGTATATTTTATTTTTAATTAGAAGAAAAAATAATGAGAAAATATAGAATAAAAGAACTCATCCAAGTTTTATAAAAAAAAGAAATAAGAACATTTCCTTTTCTATTTTAATTTCAAATACCTTTTTCACGTCCAAAGGACCAAATTCTTTGCTCAAAGCTTTGTCGATCAAATTCAGAATATGACTCTTACTGGCGTGAAGATCGAGATCCTCCTCAAGCTGATCACTTTTCTCAACAACGTCAGAATTCTCGATTTTCTCGTTAATTTCTTTTCCGTCACAAGTCGTTCCCTCGAACGATTTCGTAACTTTCTTATTTTTGACAGTAGTTGATATACGACAGGGTTTCAAGTAAGAAATATTCTTCAATTCTCTACATAATTTTTCATCCTCCAAAAAATCATCGACGTCACCATCCGTTTCTCCATTTATGCTATGATAGCTGGTGCTAACTTCTATTTGTTGAACAGTTTTATCGTTTCTCTGTCATAGAATTATTAAATTTTACCAAATATATACAATTTATTATATTTCTATTTTAATCCTTTAATTAAAATATCTTTTTACTCACAAGTATCGTGTTCTATCATGCAATTCGTTAACTTACTTATTAATTATTAATTATTAATTATTAATTATTTATAATATTCGTTAAAGAGTACATTAAAATTCATTATCTCAATCATCGAGTTCATTTACTTTATTCGAATTTACTGAAAGTAATTAGAAAAAAAACATACCTGCTCTGGCACATTCTTATTATTACTCATCGAAACTTGGGGCCCCTTAGAAGACTTTGCATCAATACATTGCAATTCGTTATTGAAATGATGTTCCTTCTTCTTTCTTCTCGTCTCATCCTCGGGAAAGTTCGATTTTTTCTTTCTCTCTGTTTGTTCGACGTTCGATAAATCATCTTCTTTGCACTGCTGATCATCGATATTCTTCAATTTCTCACATATATGAGAAGTGTACTTCAACTGATCAAGCTCATGATACTGTTGTTTCAAATACTGCCTATATTCTAGGTCGCTTTCTTTTTTCTTCAAATTCGATTCAAATTCTCCCATGGAACTATCACATCTCTTTGATCGATGATATTTTTCACAACATTTATCAAAAAAATTACTGTCCAGTTCAGAATAATCTTGTATGTCTTGTAAAAACTGATAAAAGAAAAAATCGAAATTGAAATTTTGCATTAACAAGTGGTTTTTTAAATTATCGCGCTGAAAATTAGACCAGTTATTAGGACCTGATTGTTCTTACAATGACAATCCTTCGACATATTAATTAGCGGAAGGTTCGGATACTTGTTATAACATTCATTTTCGACGCCTTTATTAATGATATCATCAATTATCGTCGTGAACTTTTCATCCTCTTCTTCGTTCCTATGCTCCTTTTGTCGATGATAATTATTCGATGTTTTCTTGGAATAATGAGTACGATGACAACGGGGATCTAATTTTGGTGAGAGAGGAATGCTATACGATTTCTTTACACCACCGTTTGTCAATGCATTGTCAAATATATGCTCAGTTTTCTTAAAAATTGCCTCGATGTTATCAATGTCCCTTAAAAATACGAAGATGCATTGAAAACTTCAAAAAAAAACGACAAAAAGAAAAATGATTTTTCTTCAATCGAACGACTTAAAATTATGAAAAAAGTTAATCATTAATCTACTCGATCTAGATACCTCTTTTTGGATGATGTTCTTTTAAAATTTAACTGACAATGACAGGAAGGACAACGATGCATTTTAGATTTCTTTTTACGACCATAAGAATTCATCTGGTTGACGTTGTGGTTCATTGAATGTTCGCATCGTGAGTAAGGATCGCCGGAAGCATAATTCGGATAAGCATGATAATGAGCGATTGATTTTGTAAAGCAAGGTTTTCTTTTGTATATCTCTTTAAAATGACGAACATCTTCTTCGTTGTTGTCCTAAATAAATGGATTTAAGCCAGATGTCTCATTTTAAATGATATAACCGAATATCTTCGATTTCATTGCTTTTACTAACAAATGTTTCAAATAAAAGTAACGAAATATTGAGAAGAAAACAATATTTATTGCAGACATTTCATAGGGGGCACTGTTGTCGAGATAAAGAAGTCACAGCAATTTTTTCAACTGTAAATCGATATTTTAAACCCAACAAAAGTTGTAAAGAATATTAATACGAATCCAATGAGTACCTAAACCATATCTTTTCATTGATATTTCATCAAGTTGTAATGCTTTAAAGTTTAACGAGCCTAATCACAACAGTATTGTATGTTTATGATTTTTTAACGGTCATATTTTTTTATACGACGACTATCTCAATGGTATCATTTATTTGGATTTTTTACAAACTGAGTTACCCAATTTTATGAATGATGTCTATAATCATAACCGTTACCAAGTTTGGATTAAAAGAGCTGTATGGTCTCCATAGATCTCCTGATCTAACTTCGTCAAATTTTTATCTCTGAGGAGCAATTAGAAATATTGTATTAACATAATTACGTAAACTATGAGTGAAAACATGATGAAATGCTTGCTAAAATATTTCTCGCAATGTTTTATTATCAACTGTTCGACATTTTCGACGCAAGGTCAAATTATGCATTCATGAGGGAAAAATGTTTTCAAACATATGTTGAATTAATAATTCAACCTTTTTTTCGATCTGCGTGTACGCTAATATTATAAAATATCCAACGATTCAAATAACAGAAATTAAATAAGAAATGAATACAACTTCCAAAATATATAAATAAAAATAAATAAATAAAAAAACAAGAAAAGAAATTAATTAATGAATTCATTGGTTATCAGATATTTACAGGAAAATTGAACGCATTATTTGCGAAGTTTATCAAACTTCAAGACGTAACAACGAATGAAAAAATGTGCTATACGAATTCGTATTGATACTCTTTACAACTTTTATCCGGTTTAAAATATTGATTTCCATTTAAAAAGATTGTTATGACTTCCTTATTTTAACAACAGTGCCCTTTATGAAATAAAGCCCTATGACATTTCTCCCTTAAAACCTAGCGACTTAAACATTTGTTAATAAAACCGATAAGATCGGAGATATTCCGTCATATCATTTAAAATGAGATACCCGATATATACAAAGAATTAATTAGTATTAACATACACTAAATTATTCTGACATTTGGAATAGGATTTTTTTTTATTTAAATAATGTTACTTTAATTTTACATAACTATGAGGATGTAAATTATTTAAAAACGAGATCCCTTAAACATTCAATCTTCCAGCGATAATAAAAATGTAAAATTAGGAACTCACCATTTTTTTTTCCACTTTTTTTAATAATATACCGGATACACCGGAACTTCACCAAATGGAATTTTGAATCCGTATTCATAATAGGCTTATTTCGTTAATACCCTTTTGATATTACAGATGTAATATCAATCTTTCATTTTTCCCTCGGACATAAACAAATTATCGAAAATTAAAATCTCGACGGATTTAAGATTAATGTCTGAAGCAAGATCCGAAGGGAACAAAACAAAGAGGATAAGATATAAGAAAACAAGACGTAAAAAACCGTAAATGTCAAAATGAACGAAAACCACAAAGCTTGAGCGCATGTGTATGCGTAACAAAATTTGTTGCTCCGTTGTTTTTTTAATTAAAACAGAGTAATTGATCAGTAATTTACAACGTGTCTATAGAATAATTATATCAACGAAACACCGTGAATCATTACAACAGATATACTACAAATCATTAAAGAACTTTTATATAGATACCCAGAAGTTTTTATTTTATGTTAAAAAAATGAATTACGATAAAGACGTAAAAAAATATAATTACAAAACAAAAAGCTTATAATTTATAAATAAAAAAATATATATATAAATATTATATATACAAATTTTATAAATAAAAAAAAAATATATATATATATATATATAAATATTATATATACAAATTTTAGTTATTAATAATATACATATAGTATCAAAATAGAAAATGGACAAATCGTATTCATTCTATTCCTAAATGAATATGCTTTATCTCAAAATTATACTTGAAAAAATCATAGTCACAAAAATATAAAAAAATTATGCCATGATATGTTTAAAAAATACATATTATTATATAATATATACTATAAAACAATACATGTTCAAGTGTATACAAGTCTACAAGTATGATAAATTTATTGATAAAAGTATAATTCTACTAGAGAAAATTCTACAAAGTCCTCATCGATCCGTAAATACGATTCATATTACATAGTACCATGTGAATTATTTAGTTAACGCTTTTTATCTGATCTATCCATAATTTATCACAAGATTGAGACTTATTAATTCAATCTGTTATAAACTTTGATTCGACATGGTCGGGAACGAAGAGGAAAATATCAAAGAGAAGTTCTCTTATATGCATGAAATTATGCCGGATTTTCAAAAACGTACAAGATTGATGTTTAAAAATGTTCGGTCTGTCCCAGAAGAATCAGCTACGCATGTCGGCACGGATGTAATGACTACAAAATCATTAATGGGTCAGTACTTCGTTGAATTTGCTAACAACTCAAGTATTCATGGATTTAATCATCTGGTAGCACGTCACAGACATCCGTTAGAAAGGTATTAAAAACAATTATCCTTTTGTTATCAATAAGAAATGAACATCATTTAATTGTCAATTTAACATTTTCAAAAGGTTCCTTGTAGCCATATTTATATTAACTGCTCTTGCAAGTTTAATTTTTGTTTCCATAATTTCTTGGTACCGATACCAATACGATGCTATCTCAATATACTGGAATCATGAGTATAAACTCTTCAGGCTTGCTAAACCGTCGTTTATTATATGCCCGCTAAATGTAATCCAGGATTCGAGCTTCCCTGAAACTTTTAAACGGTAAAGTTTATGTCCATTAGTGTTTATAATATTAAAATATCTTTATATGTATATAATCATAAAATACAGTAATTCGTTTGGAGATTAAATCGTCAAATTATGATTATTCCAGTTATGGCATCGAAGACACACCAAAGGCTCGAGCGTTCTTTCATTTTTTATCTAATGCTACTTATGAAACTATGATCGACACACCTGATTACGATGATGCACCGCCAGGACTATGGCTTAGAATTTTGTCAGATTTGAAGAAGGAATTTTTTTATGAAACAACTTTTATTGATAAAGGAATATGGATCGCTACAGAAAATGGTATATGTCTTTCTATAGGGAACTTAGTTCTTCAATATGCCAGTTTGCAGTAAGCATCAGAGCACTGACTATAAAATCAAGATACTTAGTCAAATATTTTTAAAAATTCATACTTTTTATTATTACTATTTGATTAGAGATTTGTTATCTAACAATTGGACCGTAATACCTCTACCTAAATATCCTCCAGATCCTCAAGATTTTGAAATGGATAATAAAGACATGAATGATTCTAATTATATACCATCATATACTTACAATGAAGATCATGGAAAAATAGAATTAGTGACAACTGATGCTGAAGTAACGGTGATAATTTTTAGAACTATTTGATTAATAGCTAATGAAACATCATGATCATTAATATAAGAGTATCTTCATTTTTTGAACATATAGCTTAGCATACTTGATCCAATGGATTCGTACAACTATGAATTCGCAAAAACTAGACATCATTTACAAATTCTTGAAATACAAACGGTTGTTCTTCGAATCCTGCAAGCAGACAGTACAAAAAGTATATATAAACTTCCAATACATCGAAGAAAATGCGGATTCCCTTCGGACAATGGATTGGAATTGTGGCCAATATATACATACCAAATGTGTATGACCGAATGTAGATCCCGTATAATTAGAAAAAAATGCGGCTGTTATCCTCATTTTTTAAGACGTATATGTAAAGATTTTTATCATTTTTCATGATTTATTTGTCGAAGAGAGATCTTAGATATTTTCTTCTTATACGTATTTATTTATTTTCTTAGCTGATGTTCCTATCTGTAATGCTGCACAATTGCGTTGTATCGGAAGAATACAGCGATCGGAATTACTTAATGTTAAAACATCTTCTTGTAATTGCCTCGTTAATTGCAACCAAGTCTCCTATTTATCGGAGGAAATTAAAATAACGAGATTGTAATTATCAAAAAAATATCAATAATCTTAAGAATAAGTATTATACCCAACTTAACAATTATAAACATATTTAATAATTCCAGCAAAAACGTATTTCCCTTGAACACCACAAGTTTCAAAATGACAATCAGTTTTTCGAAAAACAAATTTAAACGTAAGGAATGGTACACTTTTGGAGACTTCCTAAGTACGTTTAAAAAGCTTATAAATTCCTTTGCTTTCTTCATAATTTCAATTTTTTTTAATATTTTATCATTCCTGATCCAGCATCTATTGGTGGAGCTGCTGGTTTATTCCTCGGTTGCAGCGTATTATCCTTCGTTGAAATATTATATTATGGGACTTTACATTTGTACATTTATATGCAATACCATAAACCAAACAAAACCTAAGCTAAGAATTGAATATATAACGCTACTAATCAACTAGATGTGATAGTTGAAAAATACTGTTTATTGCAAAACAAATTGCATTTTTGTTAGAGGGACGTGAAAGAAATAAATATGACATACATACAAATGTACATACATACATCTTTAGAGACGATTATAAACGCACGATCACTGTACACTAATTTACAAGAGTAGAATCACCTAAAATATTATTAGAAAATGTTTCTTTTCGAGTAATTTTCTTTTCGGAATAAAGGATAAACGATTTAGAATGATTAAAAGGATGCTAATATATCAATAAATGGAGTTCCAGGTTCCTTCGCTGCAACTTCGAATATTTCGACGAAAGCTTTCTTTTGAGATTCCTCGGGCAGCTATACATAAAATAATTAATTTTAAAAATACTTACAGATACAATTCTAATTTTATTTTATACATTATCTTTTCATGTGTACCTTGTGATAAAAGTCATTAGCTGCAATGCATAATATCTTCTTATCCTCGTATTCGTATTTCCCAATCCTTGATTGTACATGTGGGAATCTATATCGATCTATGTCAAGGAGCATATTATTTATTTACTTCTAAATTCTAAAGAATACATTTAAAAGAAGTGGAAAAGGATACAAAGCTCTCAACCAATTATTCGTAGATGCACTTATAAAGAAACATGAGAGACACCAAGTGGACATAGCCAATGGTAAACTCTGTATGAAATTTGGCAAACTGAAGACCACCCAATCTTGTAGTAAACTCAGTTGTGTAGACGTACATGCTCTTTCACAAACCTAGATTTAATATATCAAATATTTTCAATTCCTTTAATATTTCATATTCACATTTTTTTAGATATTATATTTTACGAACTTTAAACACAACGCCAGAAAGCAATCGAGGATGTGGTTGTTGAGGTGATAAAAATTCACCGATAACTTTTGTTAAAATTTGTGATAGTGGAAAGAAATCTGCTAAAACACCAGATAAAACTGAACAAAGAATCTCTACTTCCATTGGATAGCCTCTCTTAATTCTGTCAAATATGGCAGACGTTCGTTCTATTGATCGAACCAATGATTCTGGTTCAATATCCGGCAATGGTTCTTCAACATTCGGTTGATTTAATCTGTCTGCTGCTTCGGTATACATGCAAGTTAATAGAAGTTGCAAAGCAGGCAAAGCAAACATCAGACTTGCATGCCTTAAACGCTCTGTTGCTATTTTAACAATTTGTTCTGCTACTTTACCTATTACACTTTTTGTTATAATTAATCTTTCGAGACCCTAAAATAAAACGGGTATAATAATTTTTGCTATTAAAAGAGAAGACAGTTTTTAAATTAAATTTAAAAGGTACCTGTAAAAGAGTTTGATGTAAACTAATCGAAATATTCGGTGACATGACTAGAGAAAGAACTAGTTCAAGCACAGCAGGAGCTTCTGTATCGGGTGTTGTATCCCCTGCATGTTCTAATAAGAAAAATACTAAAGCCCACATAACTCCTTGATGTTCTTCACTTTGACTTAATACCCTAAAATAAATGAAAAAAAATCATAAGTTTCCATTCTTCACAAATAAGATAAAAATTACATTCAAAATATTAATTCGGAACATATGGATTACCCATCTGTATCTTGAGTATCTATGTGTTTTTGTATATATTCAATAGTCAATGGGTGTAAGATGTTCATAATCTCTTCGTAATTAGCTTGAACTGCACTTTGTAATAAATATAAGACACCATGAAGTGCTGCTACTCTAGCAGCCAAGAAAACTGATTTAAGGTTGATATCAACCAAACGCTTTACCCTATCCAATGTATCCAAATCCTAAAATAACAATATTCTTCAATTAATAATATTGATATACATATGATTTTTATATTTTTAGCATATATAATATATACCAGTGGTGTTAATACTGCAGCAGCCTTACATACAGATATTACCAAATACTGATGTAAGATTCCATTTTCTATAGAATGTACTCTTGATATTTCTAAGCAAACATCTAGCATCCATTGATATTGTGCTCTTTCTACAAAGAGATCAGAAATAGCTAGGAGAGATTTCATAGTTTCTGTAAGTAATTGTATCGGAATATTCGCTTGTGGAGACAACCAAGAAGTATAAAGTTCCACTAAAAAGCGAAGACACGAATCTACATCTAATGATGCAGACTTTAATGCATCATTCCTTCTGTTTTTTAGTTCAAGTACAGAGGCATTTAATTTATCTTCATATAAATTACACGATGACCATAAATAGGAAACTGATAATTGGCTGTATGTAAAGTTATTTGAAGTTGTAATTTTTTCTATGTTTCCTCTATGAAATATATGATCTAATTTTAAACCATTTATATTTTGAATATCACTCATACATTCATATTTCCATGTAAGTAAATCTTGTATAGTATATAATTCTTGTGAGCTTATTTTCACAACCGAAAGTTGAGGATCTCGTGAATGATGTATCAAACAACTAGTACTTGGATTACCAGGATGTGGTAGAAACATTGTTTGTAACAATAATTGTGTTATAGCTTGAATAGCTAAACAGCTTGCTTGTACTAATGCTGTTGATTCTTCCGAAGAAGTGTTTTCATTTTGTGAAAGATTTAACAATCCCAATAATGCCATCCATATTTCTTCAAATTGTAGACGTGAAGTCCAACCCAACAAATTTATTCTATAAATGAACTGTTCTAAAATATCGACTTCTTGAAGAAGATTTAATTCAGTCGATAACAATGGAAAGTGACATTTGGTCGTACCAGAGCCCATTATATGCCAACCATGTTTCCAAACCAAAGGAGGCGTAAGAACAAAAGAATTTACCAAAGGTTGACGACTAATAAGTACAATAAGGTCTTTTATTATGTTAAATAAATAGGGAGGAATGTTTTTAGAACTATTATTCACTTGACATTTTTCAAGCCAAACAACCAATGATGCTATTCGCACACATGCCTGTGCATAATGCTTCGTTTCTTCGTCTTGAAAAGCTGCTTGTAAAGAACACGTATCAACATGAGGTAATGATTCAACTGCTGTTAAGTTACTTTCAACAATTTTTGTCATAGCCAATATCGTTGAACATACCCACGAATATCGAGTGTGATCTGCAAAAACCTTAAATGGGCCTTCATATTTCAAAATTTCTCCAGCACAACTCAACGTTAATTCTACTTCACTTGGTCGTAGCTTTCTAATATTTTGTTTATCTACATGTATCATCCAATGTGTTAATTCAAAACACAATAAAGCAAGTTTAGCACAATCTTCTTCAACTTTTCCATCCATATTTGCCAAATTATATTTAGTTAGTTTCGACAATGTTTTTGTAAATACCTTTACAACTGGAATGATTTTAAAAAGTGTATTCCAGTAAATGGAATCGTCTAAAAGTTTGGAAATCCTTGTAGCATATTTCACTTCTTTACTATTGATATTAGATTTTTGCGGATTAAATACATAATGTGGTTTTGGCATAAGTTCAGTTACATTACGTACATGCTCTAATAAACACTGTTTAGCAGCTGTATACAGAGGACTGGCTTCAAAATTATGAATTTTTTTATTGTGAATTTTTCTTAACTCTAACTTTTGGCAATTCTCAATAGTCAATCTTACGCCCAATGTTATGCAGTCTTTTAAAATTATTATATCAAACTCCTTAGAAGAAATAATACTCAAACAGTCTTCAAAATTTAAATTACTCAATAGTTGTGCAGATTCGTGAGTATTATACGTTGTATTCTGATGACAGCAACGTAATTTAATCTGAGAAAGAAACCAATCACGATCTAGTTGAATTGTTTTTACAATTGATGGATTGAAAGATCTACATAAATCAGGCTCGAAAGGTGAGAGATCATAAAAGTGTACTCCTAATTTGTTCAATAAGTTAACTAGAGCTCCATGTTTTTTAGCTAGCTTAGTAGTCTGTAATGTATCCATAATCTTTACTAGATCATTCTTTGGCAATTGTTCCATAACATCTGCTGCACTTAATGTTAATAAAATTTCAACTCTTCTGCTAGCCATTTTTGCTGCCATTCTTGATAGAGCAAGATATTTAGTAGACAAAAATTTTGGAATTAACATCATTATGACTGCACCACTTTGAGATTGATGTGCATCTTCGATACACTGCAATAAACGTTTGATGAAGCTAGGTTGTGATAAATTCACACATTTTGTTGAAATAGCTTGTACTAGGAGACCACTTGCTGCAGGATTTCTATGTATAGCTGCTGCTAGAAGTTCTTTGACTGGAGATTCAGTAGCTGTGTGTATTGCTTCTTCAATATGATTCACTAATAACCATGTTAAAGGCTCTGCATCATTGAGATTTTCGCATACATAATCACAAAATAATATGATTCCACCTTTATGAATAATTTGTACATTTATGCTGTTTACATAGTCGTATACTTTTTTCTCATTTGGAAGAGATCTTACTATGTAATTCGAATTTCGTGTGCCCAAAATTTTAGACCAAAATAGCATCTCATTATAGCTTAATAATGTCATTAGGTAAGCCCATTGACATGTCAACATTGGGCATACATGTCCAATGCTTAGCATTAAAGAATTTAAATTGTCTATAGGAAACTTTTCCTCTTCAAACGTATTGCGATCTTGAACCATTTGCATTGCTGCATTTGCCACTTTACAATGACTTCCAGACTCGAACATGTGAATACATAATTGTAAGAAGAATGCAAATTGATGCACCAAATAATCATCATTATCTGTATGCTGAGCAAATCCTGTATAGGGATCTATAGCTCTATGATTAATTAATCCAAGAATGTTAACAATTTTTGTGCCTATCAGACTAATCACTTTAAATATGAATCTGGCTAAAATTTTTTCAGGTGGTATTTGTGCAGATTGAGTTCCAAGTGCATTTAATGGATCTATAACTTTAGACAAATTATCTGGAAATAATAATAAATGTGAAAGATCTGTCATATACACGCTAAGATCTGATAATCGTGCTAACATCGACTCCTCTTTAGCACAAGAAATAAGAGTTAATAATATAACATTTATCATTCCCAACCAGCGTTTTAAATTAAAAACTGGTTCTTTCAAAGACGCAGGAGCTGTAAAAAGTACTTTTAAAAGTGGATCTACTGGCCTGAAAACAGTAGGAGAAATTGCAGCAAACAATTTTACTAAGGCAATATGAGCATTTTCCCATTCTAGTCTTACTTTACACGTTCCTAACATTGGAAGTATAGTATCTGTAGTCATTCTAGACCATCTTCTCCACTTTTCTTCTCCATTTCCATCTCCACTAAATCTAGATTCTGAGACACATAATGCTAAAAGTTCTATAACTTCATGATATTCCACAAGACGAAGTAGCATTGAAATTAATACTTCTTTTGTTGTTTCCAATTCTCTTTGTTCTGCTTGATTAGAATTTCCATTGCGAATAAGAAAAATATCTCCAACTACAGGTGCAAGTGCTGGTATACAATATCTAAGTGCTGGCTGTCCACTTGCCATAAGTCCATCACATAACTGTATTATTTTAGGAATACCTATTACAACCTTTGAGTGATTTTTTTCATAAGATAAATGCACCAAAAAACTGAAAATTTTTGGTAACAGGTCTTCTGCTTGCTGTATTTGACCTTCCTCTATGAATTCAAACTGTTTTAATACAAATCCTATAAATATCTTGTCTGAATCTAATAAACAATAATTAACTTTCAATTGAATTAGTTGGCTTAGAAGCATAAGCACTTGACATTGCAGTGAAATATTGCTCGTGATAGTATATTGTTCCATAGACTTTATAACCATTGGTTCAAATAAACGAATAAAAGTAGCTACAGAAGCTTTATGATCTGAAGAATATATGTATGATAATTTTCGATCTCCTTTTCTACGTGTTAAACCTATCCATCTAGAAATCATGAGAGGTCATAATAGAATATATCTCAAATATAATTTAGAAATCTATGATACTTACCCAGTGTCTGGTTTATTTTCATCTCTGCAATTATTTCCTATTAATTTTATCATGTCTGCCATATGTCTAGCTGGATTCTGAAAACATTGATTATAAAAGCCTTTAGAAGTATCTCTTAATGCAATATTCTGTTCTGCATATTGTTGCATATCCAGTTCGCTCCATTGAGAACCAAGATTTTTACCAAACAGACATTTCAACAATTGCTGCACACACTGAATAGTTGCAGTTGGCGATAAAGTAACAGTTGTTTGCAAGTAATATAAAATTTCCTCTGCTATCCTGCCTGCCTCATTAAAAGTGGCTATCTCAAGAATTTGTGAAAGAGTATCCAGTATAGCAGTTAATAATGCAATATACATCTCGCTAGCCTCAGGATCAAGAGTAACAAGATAATTAGAGTGCGCTGCTTTGAGATTATCATACATTTTCATATAATGCGGAATAGTATTGAATACTCCCATTTGTTCTTTTCCAAATTTTAAACTTAAAAACTTATCTCCTTTTTCTTTTTGTTTCTGTTCGGTAACTACTTTTTTCTTTGGAGATAAACTGTGCGCAGATGGCAGAGAGGACAATGATTTTGTACTTATTTGATTTAATTGTATATCATCAATAACATGGACAAAAATATTTAAAACCCTTATAACATGAGTCAATAATAGTTCCATATACTGACACATTTGTTTATCTTTTAACATACTCCAAATATTTGATGTATCAGAATCATGTTTGCTTGTTGGTTCATTAGGTTTTAGATTACAAAGAGCCAATCCTGATGCAAGATTACCCGCAAGAGAGATTAAATGTTTATGTGTTGATAAATCCAAACTTATTGCAGATGAAGACAACAAAGGCAGCAGCAAAGAAAGCAGACCAGTACCAATTGGAGTTGTTATTTCAATTACAAAATTGCTTTCATTTGTTGTGTCTATTCGACTAACAGCCTTTTTATGGGATTTTTTAAGTAGTGCTTTGGGAAGTATACAATCCCAACCTCTGACATAAACTACAGTGTTATAAACTTCACTTAATAGAGCAAGAGCTTCGCAACAACCATATACCATATACTTAGATGAATCAACCATGAGTATTTCAGTTAAGATGCTTACAATACGAGATAATGAATCTTCTGTATTTACGTGATATTTTTTATCATTATGATCAGTTAATGATGTAAAAGGTTTGACAGTATTATTTATAGTTACTCTATGTTTATCATAATATGAAGAAATCTTTAAAGTACTTGACATTACAGTTGACAAATACTTTTCTGTATATTGAGCTGCTTTTTTTATAACAGCATTTTCCTGTGGATGTTGAAAATATAATAATGGAATGCTTCTGAAAATAAAAATGAAAATTCAATTTTAACAGAATAAAAAAATTGTAAGTAATATTATTTTAAGTAAGATTTAAATAATTTATAACATTCTCACTTACTTAACAATTGCTTCAGATGCTGCATGTCTAACTCTCTTATCCTGATCTCCTAATAAAATGATTATAGCATCAATAAAATGTTGTTGAAATAATGCATCACCTGTTATGTGTTCTATTGTGATGTATGATAAATTGCTTAGCAAATCTGCTAATTTAACTTTAACAAGAAAATATGGATTTTTAATAAGTCTGGGTAATTCAAATAAGATGGTTATACCATATTGACTATCTACAGAATTTAGTATTTCTGGTAAACATAAATTTAGTGCTGTTAATGTTTGACGACATGTTGTAGCAGAATCATCTTCCAAGCCCTTCAAAAAAAATTACTTGTTAATACTTTAAAACAGATATTTTATTAAATTTTACTGTAAAATTTCTTACTTTTATAAGTAATTTTATCATATTTTCCAGCAATGAATTTTCATTTGTTTTACTATTTAAACATTCAGGTTGGAAATTTTTGAAAGATCCACCATACTGTGTGAAAACTGTTTTCAAAAATGATCCAATAAGAGTCGATACATTGGCTCTGATTTGAGGATCAGAATGATTTGCAAATAATAAAATATCTTTCATCATTTGTTTATCTGAAGTAGAATCTTTGGCAACTGTCATTAAAAGTAGATCTGGATAAAGTCTTAAAATATTGGCTACACATGTTAAAGCAAGACATTTAACACTGACACGAAATAATTTATCAGGCATCAAGTGACCAGCACTGCCTGTTAGCAAGAATGATGAAACTAAATAACGACAACAAAATTTTACAGGCATATCAGAGTCTGTATAATTTCCAATATTAATTTCAAGTGATGGCAATTCCATTGGCAACTTTTGTGGAGAAGCTACAGATATTGAAGCTTCCTCTAAATACTCTTCTTCTTTCATGTGATGATCACTTTGCAAACTTGAGTAGTGAATTTCTTCTATGTGTTCTATTTCACTTCCAGCATCACTTCCTTCCTCAACACCACCTCCTAAATTAGACATAAACTAGAAAATTTGTATGTATATCCAATTTTGTTCATACAAAAACATTTACATTCATATATTTATTCTCACCCTCTAAAGTTTCTATTTTTAATTCACTGTAATTTTCCATTGTCTTTCCTTTAATTTCTGTTATTTCGCTTGCACATATTTCCCGTATTTCTGATTTGTGCATAAGTGGAAGTACTGTTTCAGAATCTATAATCCAATTTCCTATTTTTGAATTTAGTTGCGGCATTTCTGGTTCAAGCAAATTCAATGTGGAATCACAATTGCCTCCCGAAATACTCGTAGCTGTTGAAGTACTTATTTGACCCAACGATATTCTGGCCGCTTCTTGATTTAACTCTATTCTACTGTGAGTAATACCTTCTTTAGATAACAATACATATTTGAATGCACTTGACGAACATTGCAAAAGTTGAGCCAATGTTTCTAAAGCTGCATTTATTAAATTATGATTTGAATGCCACTTAGTATAATACAAACATAACTCATAAATTTGTAAAAAATTTTCCAGTTGTTGTTTGTCACTAGCTTCACATTCTGCTGGCGTATTTATATATGGTAAAATCACTTTCAAACATCCAAAAACACCGATGACTGTATTTAAGTGATCTATGTCATCATTCACTGGTATTATAGCATCTGAAAAAATAGTATATTATTAATATACAGTAAAGTTCGCAGACATAATGCTTGCAAAATATCCACCTTACCTAATAAATAATTTAATACATAACATAAAAAAACCTGAGGTTTCCTACAATTTAAACAGGTTGTTAAAATCATATTTGCTGCAGCTCTACGAAATGCTGCTTGAGTTGATGAGATATTTTGAAAGAATGCCTTAAGTAATGTCTACAAATAGATAATATATTTCTTAATATACAGATTAGTATCATATCTATTGGTAATAGTATTATTATACCTTAACATCATTATCCGTCATAAATGACCCTAATGTTCTTAGAATTAATTTCAATGCTTGTGCAAGTGTATCAATTACTGATTCCTCTGGCCTATGTGCTATGACAGTAATACATGGTATTAAGTTTGACACATATGCTTTTCCTCTTGTAGGACGAATCATGTGACTAAGTAAACTAAATCTCCAAAGAGCAGCTCTCAATGTTCGAGCCGGTCCATTGCTCTTTATTCCATTATATAATTCTATTTGAATTTTAACAATATCACTGTCTGCCATTGCCTGATAAATAATCAAGGGTTATATATTATAATAACATATACGTATTATAAAGTTATAATATTGGAATTGATTTTATTTGTTATCAAAATAAAAAACATTAAAATAATCATACCCTTATGATTTTATTTAGAGATTCATCAGCGATCATTCTTACATCAACTTCTGGGTCGTCACATAATGCTAATAATGTTTTAATTGAACAACCAAAAATTTGTGGATATTTAGAAATTAATTTTGTATTTGGCGAACATAATCCTTCAGTAATAACTATACAATGTGATATCTTTTCTTTTCTGTTATCATTAAAAACACAAATTGTTGAAAGGTATTCATAAAAATTTTTATTAAAAGTTTGACAATGTAAATAATTTTAATTCATACCTTATTGCAGGATCAGATGAAACTATGGTTTCCTGTAATATCTTCAATGCTTCTATAGATTTTAATATATTGTTTAACGCAGCCATTTTTATAAAATAGTTTTATACTTTTTTTCTATCTATTTAACCTTCCTACACGAAACCTTTAACAAATAACATACTAATAAAAATAGGTTTTTAGAATATAGATGGTATATAAAAATCTACATGCTGAGAAGCGCCATATTTATTTACGATCGAAACGTGTTACCCAAAATTACAAACATAAATAGTATGTACCATCAAATATGTGGTTTTCATCTTACCATTATAGGTTATTCATTTTTTAGATAAAACTATTTAACACTGGCAACGTGAATTATATTTAACCATTTTGATAACTCTACGCAATTGTTGCACTTTTATTGAAACCAAGAAAAGAAATTAAATTTTCAATTCGCAATACATTATCAAAGTCTGCCATATTTGTTATAAAACTGAAGGACACAATCAAAAATCAAATTTGTGAATAATTGTATCATAATATAATATATATATTACAATATTCTTATTTAAATTAAAATTTAAAATTATCAATAAATGATCTTTCTATCTATCACAATATTTAACCTATCATATTTGTAATAATATTAAAAATAATACTTTCAAATATTGTTGTTTTTAAATATACCGCGTAAGAGATAATACCGCATCAGAATGCATATTCAAAATTTGTAAATAATATGAAAGTGTGTTCTGAATTTGTTGTTTTCTCCTTTAAATATAAATTATTCTTTTTTAAATAAGAAATAAAATGTATTAAAGTATTAGTTATAAAGAGGTTAAATTCATATAGAAATCAAGGATTTCAATTACATTTATTTCATTTGTAGATAGCGCTGTAATCCGTTATGTTCTGTTTGCAAATACTGGTTACGTACAGCATACATAAAGTCGATAATCAAGATATACAAAATATAACAATAATGATGCACAGTGTAGGTAATATAAAAGTTCTATTATTTTATACATTATACAAAGAAAATATTTATCGCGACTTATAAACATATTAGGAAGGAATAATATTAATAATATAAAATTAAAAAGGGCAGACAAGGCAAAATACTTAAATAAAATCTTTAAAATATTTAAATTAATTTGTAAACTATGCCCTTAATCCTCTTAGTACAATTATTTTTCTTCAAATAAAATAAAATGCAGGTTATTTAGTAACTTCGTGAATAGCATTAGCAAGATATTCCACGTTTTTACTTGATACTCCTGCTATAGATATTCTTCCATCTTTAGTAAGATATATGCTATAGTTTTTTGTGAGTTTATCAACCTGCAATTTTTAAAAATGTACAAAAATAAATATTTATATATTGTATACTATATCGTATTAATGCATAAAAGTTAACTATTTTACCTCATGAGTTTTAAGACCTGTAAAACAGAACATTCCAATCTGATCTGTAATGTGCGTCCAATTATGAGAGCTTCCTAACTTTTCTAAATTCTCTCGTAAAGTTGTACGCATACAAATTATTCGATCAGCCATTTCCTTAACATCATGAAGCCATTCTTTTCTTAAATCAGAATTTCCTAATATTTCAGTAACGATTCGCGCTCCAGAAATAGGAGGATTAGAATACATAGGTCTAATTATAATTTTAAGTTGCGACATCACAGTAGCTGCTTCTGCTTTGCTAGATGTAATTAATGAAAATGCTCCGACACGTTCACCTATACAACAAATAGTTTTGCAAATTGTATATATGATACTTAAATTTATTAATTTTCTCAATATTTTATCTATATTACCATAAAGTCCCATATTCTTTGCATAGGATTGAGATAAGGCAATTTTATTCTTATCTTTTAGGAACAATCTAACAGCAGCTGCATCCTTATCTGTCGAACCTATAAAAATACGAATATTAATAAAAGGTACTATTACAGAAACAAATTGTTACTGCAATACTTTACCAGAAGCAAATCCCTGATATGCCATATCAAAATATGGAAAGAGATTTCTTTTTTTTACCATTGCAGATATTTCTTCCCATTGTTCTAATTTTGGATCAACACCAGTTGGATTATGAGCACAGGCATGGAGGATAACAATTGATTTCTCTGGAATTTTCTGTTAATAAAATCATCATTAGTAATTCAACATTATCGTTGCAATATTTTATATTATAACCTACCGATATATCTTCCATTAGGCCTTTAAAATCTAATCCAGAAGTCTTCGGATCAAAATAACGATATTGTTTTACATCCAATCCAGCATGTCTAAATAATGGAGTATGATTTCCCCATGTTGGTGTTGGTATGTACACTACTCTGTTTCCTGGAAAGAATTGAGCCAGGAATTTGGCTCCAATACAGAGAGATCCAGTACCAGAAATTCCTTGAATTGTTGCATTCTACAAAAAAGAAGATGAGAGTAGAAGTGTAGAAAATAATTTATAAATTTATTACTTATATACATACTGATTCCTGTATTACAACTTCATTGTTATCTCCTAATGCTAATGTAATACTATGTTTACAAAATTCTGGGCTTCCTGATATCGGTAAATATTCTTTATTGAAATTCTTCTCTTTGATTCTTTCTTCTGCCTACAAAAAATATCATTACTCATATTATTTTTTTTATATATATTCAAGATTATCTGTATTACTGTAGAAAAAAAATAAAAGACATACCTTTTTGACACTTGGAAGTACATGAGGTTTGCCATTGTCATCTCTATATGCTCCTACGCCTAAATTAATTTTATTTGGATTATTATCTCTTTTATAAGCTTCTGTAACACCTAAAATAATATCTGGAGGTCCCATCTCCACATGTGACCACCATGACCTAAATGTGACCATATAAAAATGATATAATAATTAAAACAATTGAAATATGTATATATAATTACACTGTCATTGTATAAAAGACATATAACAATTGAGTTTATAACAACTGAAACAATGAAAAGTCTAAAAGACTATCAATATCCATCAAACGAAGGTTAAAAAGGTCATAAGATATTTTCAAACATTTTTTAATTTTACCTTGATCTGGAAATATTTAAATAAAATGTGTACTGCTCACGTCTGAACAATGCTTTCATCATTGACGATACAAATTGTACATTATTTCGCGTCATTTTATAACTCATAGAAAAATATTTGCTGTCCAATTCACTTGCTCTAATCAATTCTGTTCCAGGAGGCTACAGAGGCATAAGGACGTAGCAACTGGAAACAAATGCTGACGTTTCATTAGACTATATCTATGGTTGATCATGCGCGTGTACATTATTTCACTTATCGTAAAAGGCTATCAAATTTATCGAAATAATATCAGTTATACAATAATGAGACCTTGACTTTATTATTCTACTTTTCGGCTGTATATATATATATATATATAAATAATAGTAATTTATCTATATTTAGAAATAAAATTATAAGAGAATGAAATAAAACAAAAACGGTTATTATAGAAAAAAAATATATCTGAGAATCATATTTAAAAATTTCAGTATTATAATTAATTTAAATAATTTATCATACGAAATGACATTTAAATTTGTTTATTAATTAATTTTATTCGAAAATTCAAGAAGAATGTTAAAGCTCCTTACAAATACGGTCCTGAGTATTCGGTGCTAATGTTCAATTTTTTATCTTCCTATTAAAATAATAAATAGCAGTGAAAATAATAGAAGTTAAAACTAAAAATAGAAATTAATAAAAATAATCTCTTCCTAACCTTTTCTTAAAAATAAAATCTTAATTTTAAAATATTTTATAAGTCGTAGCGTACAAGAATTCTACATGACCAACGAATTACGTTCAATAATTTCTTAAGATAACACGAGATAGCGTAAAATTCCAAACGAATTCCAGTTGGATGTACGTGTACTTTCCGCACGTTAGTTTTTTTATAAATTTTTTTATTTTTCATTCCTTTTTTATTTTTTTTATGTTTACAATTTTATATATTTTTCAAAGTTAAATCGATTAAATTGAGCAGATTAAATTAATTCATCAAATATATCGCTGGTTTATTAAGTGGCGATCTTGATCATATATTATTCTTATCTTTAATGTTCTGTAACAAGTGTTAATAATTAAATAGTGCAACGAATAAGCCTATTTTGAAATTAAAAATGTTTTTCATCATGAAATGATAAAAAATAATAAGTTCACGATTTTATTTTCATTTATAAAAGTTACTTCCATTTTATTGCAGTGTCATTACGTCACGAGAGTAGCTTAAATATACTATTACCATATATGTAATGTAACAGACAAGAATATATAGCTTATATTTTTTTTCTTTAGACATTATCTCAACATTTAAAATAATTGTTGCATTATAAATTCAGTGCAATTGATTGACATCAAAGTTACAGGTTATGTTTATTGAAAGAATCACAATTAAAAGATAAATATAGGTATAATCGAAAAAAATCTATTTATATTATACAATCGGATTGTGATAATCATTTTGTTTTGCATTACTTTTCTTTTCTTTTTCATTTCAAAAAGTCCGCCTTTTTGTCAATTCGATTAAATTATCTTACAAACTTGTATAGGTCACATGATACATGAGAATGCAATTTTCAGAACCTGTCTATTAATTTATTCCTTTCTCTTTCTTTCCTTCGAACATACGATCATCCGTAATATTTCATATAGATGAAATATATAGGAGAATAAATAGAGAGAAGGAATAGAAACTTAGATCTCTAAAGAACATTGTCATTTTTATCGCGATGGCATTATCTCGGATAAGTCGCTGTTCAGATTTGTTAACTATATTTAATCGTAACTTGCAGCCAGGTACGTTATTGATAAAAAAATTATATTTTATATATAATATATATTTTCTGGAATGTTTGTAATAATAATAATTTTTTTAAATTGATATATTTAGTTGGCGTAGCAAGTTATCCGTTCAATGAGGTACAATTCAAACGTCGTGAAACAGTACCAAGAAGCCAAATGAAGATTTTACACGTAACGAGCATACGTCGTTATCCTGATGCACCGACTTTGCCACTTCCCAATAATGTTTCGGAAATATTTGCGAACGAGACAGGTCGATTCACTCCGGAACGAACAAGGGACATAGCAAGTCCGATTTTGATTTATGGTGCGAACAGAGTCAGCGCCAACAACAATAACTCATTTTCATTCTCGTCCTTTAGCAAGGAAGTAACGTTCAACAGACAAAGACATTTCTCGATCGTACGCGAAGACATGCACATAGATTCGTACGATTGTTCAGGCGCGATTAGTTTAAATGGTAGCATGCAAAGTAACGTGCCAAAACCTTTCTGTTCAACTGGCAAATCGACTCATTTCAATATGCCAGGTGGACAGTGGGCTAAGGATAGCAAATATATTGCTGAAGATATGCAAAAATCACATTACAGGCTTACCAGCATTAATATTTTATCGTCCGATCGAGTTAAGAACGGTTAGTGGAATTGGAAACAAAGTGTATGCTCAATTCTTTTACAAACTTGCACTATTTGATAAATGATAAAGATATACCTTTTTCGAATAAAATCTGGTTAGGTATATATAGAATTTATAGTTTATCATATAAAGTACATATTACAGTAATATGTATATATTCAATGATTGATTCATTTTTAATTTTCTGTATTTCAATACATTTTAATATCACAATTTTATATCAAAGATTAAGAAAAGATATTATTTTGAAAATAACACAATTTGTTTTGCCTTATTTTAAATTATTTGTCTCGTTTCTTTGTGTCGGAGAAAAAAGTTTCTTTCAGTGCAAAGAGTTAAAGTTAAGCTGTATGTACAATAACTACAAATACCATCGACAATGCTTTGTAGAAATTCGTGGTGTACTTGAAAATGTTGCAATTTCACATTAAACTATGTGAATAGTATCAATGTTAAAATATGTTACTCAGGTATCATGAACGAAGCCATTTTAATGAATACACTCCATAATAAATTGTTACATCCAATTTATATTGATCTTATGAGATACTCAACAAATGCTTCAACACCGCTGAATACTACTAATTCGGAAGATAAGATAAAAAAGAAAATAATAGTGACTAAAAGAGAAAGATTTAAAATGATCGTAAAAGATTATGGGAAAGTTGTTTTTGTATTTCACGTCACCATTTCGCTAATGTCACTTGGCTTCTTTTATACGGCTGTTATTAGGTTTGTCAAATAATTAATACATACAATGTATACATATATATATAAATACAAAATGATATTCATTAAATATCAGATTTAATATACAAAATATATTGTCTGAATATATAGAAAATATTCAACGTTATAAATATTAACCGTTATCTTTTTTTCAGTGGAATAGATCTAGTGCCTTATATTGAAACAGTTTATAATACCGAGAACGAAAAAGTAATGAAAATTTTGAACGATTCATCTGGATTTTTATTGGCATATACAATTCACAAAATGTTAGCGCCAATACGATTATCTATTACTTGCGCTATAACGCCATGGCTCGTTTTATACTTACGAAAAAAGGGCATTTTAAAGCGACCAGTGCCGAAAAAAACAGGATAAATTTTCACTTAAAGTTTAACCGATATAAAAATTAAAAGGAATAATAGTTTCTACGATGTTTATACATAAGTATCGGCAGCTTTATTAAGTTCGACATATAAAATTAAAACTTCCATGAGTATTGTATAACATGCATGCGACACGTGGTTCTCGTTCAAGTAAGAACGAAATAAATTTTTGTACCTGTGCGAATAAATATCGCGCATATTTAAGAGTGTAAATGGATGTTATAAATTTATATCCGTATAAAAATTGATCGTATATTAAATCTATATATAGTATATATATAATTATTTGTATACATCCATCTCATTCACTATCAAATAAAGTATATAATATATTTAGCAGTGTAATAATCCTGCACTTTACGCGTATTTTACGTACAATACTTAATACTCTAACAGCAAGCAAACATGCGATTCTCTCTTTGCAAGTCATACATATTATCAGCGTGAGGATAGAACTTGCGTAACGTACATACGTAAGAGTTCGGCAGTTTTCAATGGACGAATTAGTACAGTTTGGAACATTGTGATTAAACTTGATTCTCAAGAATGATCTTTATATCAAGCAAAATTCGTTTTACGAAGTTTGAAGAATTTCATTATTGTGAAATATTCTCGCAAAATTATTTGGTTAATAAATATTCTTTCTAACAAACTTCCTTTATATACCATAGAAAAAGAAATCAATGCTTTTCGATGAAAATAACTACATTTCATACATTTGTGCAGTTCTCTTCAACTTATCACCGCTATTTGATTTAGTATAGGAAACATACAAAGGTGCCAAGAGATTTGGCGTGTGCCTATTTTGTATGTGTATACATATATGTACACAATTACTTAAAAATTATACATATTACGATACATACATAAGGATAAAAGTAAGAGCTATAACTATATACAATTAATTCGAAGTTACAATTATTTCTATAAGTAAACATTTTAATTCGAACTACGCATAGGATTACTTTTGATCACGATAATTATTCGTACCTGATTATTAAGATTGCCATCTTCATATATATATATATATATATATATATATATATATATATATATATATATATATATATATATATATATATATATATATAGAAAAAATAAGAAAAATAAAATTCTAATGTTCAACAGTCCTTGAAGTCTTTTTCTGAGTATTATTATTTCTAGGCAGTTTCTTAAAATATTCGAAAAACACGCTCCTTTATTAAGCATATTACCGTCAGTTCTTCCTTAATTAAAGTGAAATAGCCGATACGATAAATGATTTATACTACCTAGTCACTTAGCTTTGCTTAAATGACGAAAATCTCTTATAATTTTTAATTATAAAATTGAGCAATAAACGATTTGTTTATACCAAAAGTACTATTAATATATCTATAAAGAGTTTAAAGCAGATATCGCATAATAATACTTTCAAATTGATAAACTATCAGTCGTTATATCTTACATACGTGTCATGCAATTAAAATAGATAAAAGGCTTATGGACATTCAGAGGACATGTATCGTTTATAAAAATATAACACTTGTTTGGCACATTAAACTTCTAAAAATGTAGAACCTTTTAATTCTACATCGGTGACAGTCTCAACACATTGACGAGTTCAAGCGTGCTTTATCTTCTTTGGAAGTAAGCAATGCATTAAGCATATTTTATACATTGTTCAGAAATCAAATAAGTTTAAGTTATATTGTATTATATATATTATAATAGAAATAATACCTGAAATATTTTGGAAGTGTTTTCTCGTACAATGTGTTACAAAATCGAAATCATTCGAGCAAACTATCACCGAATATTATTTCTCTCTCCATCTTTTTGCACTAAGCATTATAATTTGTCAATGATAGTAAAAAGCATTGACAAAAGTCATTCTTCTTCCTTTTATATTTAAACTTAATTAATTTCAAACGTACGCTTCCGTACGACGACCCTGAAGATGGTTAAAGAATTGTCTCCAACTACTGAGAGTTTTACTAGACCATACCCAGAAGCTACTAGTTATGCCAACTATCATTGCCATCAAATATTTTATCATAAAGACTTCGAATTCTGGCCGCCGGCCAAGATCACGAGTACGTTCACCAACAGGACAAGGCATCGAGTAAAGTGATTGCAACCCAGGTCGCGAACACATCTCCATGTTCCAAGTTAACATCCATTGATCGAAATACGCTTGCTCGTAGAAAAGACAAGCGATCACTATGAGCGCTGGTACGGTATATAATACGGAAAAAATACCGATGCGGATCATTAACTTCTCTAACTTATCGGTCTTTGTACCATCGTGCTTCATAACGGTACGTATGCGAAAGAGAGAAACAAAACCGGCGAAAAGAAAGGCCGTTCCAAGAACTAAGTAAACGCAAAGAGGAGCTAGCACAAATCCTCTTAATGCATCAACGTTCCACAAACCCACGTAGCAAACACCGGATAATATATCTCCTAAAAATATATAAATAATTAAAAAATTCGTAAACAAAAGAAAAAATCAAATTTTGATATTTAAATGCATATTTACCTTCTACTTTTCCCATTGCAAGGACTGTTACGGTCTTTATTGCTGGTGCTGCCCAAGCAGCTAAATGAAAATACTGCGAATGTGCTTCTATAGCTTCGTGTCCCCATTTTAAACCAGCTGCCAGAAACCACGTCAATGTAAGTATAACCCACCATATACTCGATGCCATACCAAAAAAGTAAAGCACCATAAAAAGCACAGTACATAATTCGTGCTTAGTTCCTTGCGTTATTGTAGATACCATCTGAATACGCATGTCTAAAGGCGGAGGAAAAGGCTCTCTACATGCAATAGAATTACCAGCTGCCCATCCTATCACGTATGTCAGTGCTACCATGAGATAGCATACCGATAGAAAAATAATGGGTCTCTCTGGATATCTGCAATAAAAGAGTGGTTAGAACGGTTATATGTTTATTAACTAAAAACAATCCTATAAATTTCTACTTTATGAGAAATTTACTATTTAACTATATCTACCTAAATCTATCAGTATCGATGAGAAAAGTCAGGAACGTAAAAAAACATGATGCAGCACAGAGAGATGCCCAGGTACCGACCCAGACTCTGGAGAAGTTACGTTCTCTTTCTGTAAAGAACATACCATCGCAGGGTGCACCACAATTAGGTTCTATTTTATCCCCTACTTTGAGAGAATAACCCAGTCCATGTGGAACCTTGAATTGCAGGGGACAAACAAATCCAAAGTCTCTGGCACCAAGCGCAAAGCCATTACCGTTGTAAGACGTGGCCCCACCACTGTTCCAAGGTGGCTGAAACTCTGCAACTGGCATGCGTGGTGGAGAATATACAGGTGCCGATGGTTCCACTGGTGTTGTTTCATTAGTACCAACACAAAGTTCTTTCCCATTTTCAGGCAATTTAGAACAATCAAGGTTATCCGGCCAATTAAAACCAAAACTGTTCATCAAATCTTCACAACCGGCACGAGCACTCTCGCACAGAGATCTGCACGGTGGTATTGCCTTCTCGATGATAGTGCAAACTGGTGCATAAACGGAACAGAGAAAGAAACGTAGATCAGGGCTGCATTTAACCTTAACGAGAGGCGCAAATTGATGAACCTCGTAGCCAGCTTCTTCTTGTTTCTGATGGTTCATCAAATTTGGCATTATAGTTTCGTTGTACGGTATATTCATGCAAAGATTTATCGTAATCGGTTCGCATCTACCATGATGAGCGAGAGGATCCTTCGTATGCAAAGCTGACACTTCGATCACGCCCATCCAAAGAACAACGAAGATCGTGTCGAAGAAAATGAAAAACGAGACCGACATTACGAAATAATTCGAATGAAATAATTCCTGTTTATACAATTTTTTTTCGATATCCGTCCACCTTACACGACGTAATGCACGGGGACTTGAGGTTGCATCACGATAAAGCCGGATAAAGATAGTGTCCGGTAATACTCGAAGAAATCTGAAGGTTTATGAAAATCGATCACCAACTTTCGACGTGATTTGTCCTTCGTGTATCTTCTGACGCTACTGCACCAGAAGACAACAGTGCTTGCGCTCGTAAACAGAACGGATTCGACGCAATGATTGCTTTAGAGGGAATATACTATTAACCTATCTTTTCTTCGTCCTGTTTCGCCGTCCCTCTTTCGGTAGAATTTACAAGTTTCAATGTTATTTGATATCTTTCGGTACTCACCCTTGTCAACCCTTTCGAGGTTTCATCGATTCGAATTTCATTTCAAATAGAGATAAGTGTATTTACGATACATTTCGATTGAAATTTAGAACAACTATGATGACGTTTACTGTCACGTGGTGAAGAAACCTACAATTGATTTTATATACAAGTTTAAGAATTAAATTTAATTCTCTTTCGGCTTACGTAACCTTAGAGGGCGCAACGTACAATGAATGATTCTCGAACAAAGAACAGATCGTTGTTTGTTTTTTTTTAATGATTTATTAATAAAGTAAATATATCCCAAATTAAAAACGAAAATATTTCTTTTATTAATTAGAACGGGAGTTTAGGATTGGCTGGTATTGATTGTGTCAGCTAGAGAATTATTTATTAGATTAATAAAATCGATCGGTTCATTTTGATTTTATTTCTTTCCCGACACATAATGCACAATACGCTTGTAGTCGTTAGTCGTAACGTTAGTTACTGCTAATGATCAGCGCAATTGATAAGTATTACGTTTGTCTATCGCAATATTATATCACATCGTACGGTGAGTATCCATAGAAAGAAAACATTTAGCGATTTATCCGTACGATATCGTTATATAATATTATTTACTATTTCTTTCAATGTATCTCACGGATATATCGTCTTCTATGTTTAGTTACACGGATACTCGCTGACGAAGCTCGTGCGCTTGGATGACTTCGAAGTCATCGTCGGATTTTGCACCGATAGTCCTCCGAATCGGTTAAAATCCATTCAAAATCAAGAGCGAGTTTTTACTCTCTCTTTCTCTTTCTCTCTCTCTCTCTTTCTCGATTTATCGTAAACAAATAAATAATTTATCTCCTCGAAATACTCTCATCTCGAATCGTCGATACTCCATGTAGGAGAGGATCAGCCTTACATTCTTACAATTAATAACACTTAAAATTCATTTACGGAAGATTGAAATACGTCGTGCGAGGCAGTTTTTCCTCTTCCTCCCTTAAGAAAATTCTTTTTTGGAACGAGCTAAAAGGACGATTATTTCTGACGTATCGATCAACGAACGAAATAAGTTGGAGCGCATAATTTAAACTATAATAAATTGTTTTGCGTAAGATAAGGACGAATAAGCGTTGGGGGTATAATTATTCGAAGGAAGACTATTCGATAAAATATTAATCTGGGGATGTAATCAATTACACGCACAGGTTTCTCGTTATATTTACAGAATAATCTAATCATTCGGAAGACGATTTATCAAACGAAGGAACGTCTCCCTGAGGAAGAATCGTATTACTCTCTCGTCGTGGACGATTATCGAATCCATTTTGTACGGAAGGAAAAGCGCGAGTCTTTCTGTCAGAAAGCTAAAATAATATCTATTGGCACGAAAGGCGGCAAAGTTCGCTTAAATTGGAAGCATTTTCTTTTATTTTATTACGAGCTGATATAAAGAGGGACGAGTCAAGATCATACGAAGATATTTTGCTTGCTTTTTTTTCTCTCTCTTTTTCTTTTCTACTTTTTATCTTTTAATTAACAACGCGACCAGCGCGTATCAGTCTTCGTTTCAGTTTGAATTGTCCCGCCTTACATTCTACAGACTCTTTCTCTCTGTTTCTCTCTTTCTTCGCAATAATACTTTGCTCATTTATCGGGAATTCAAACGTTCGTGTCTTGATATGATTACGAGCGAAACGACCGTCAAAGTTCACATCGGATGCGTATAAAATTAACGAGGGAGGAGGATGAAAGACGACCATGTATGTTATATCAATGGTCAGGAAAGGTGGAACGATGTAGTTACACATCCTCGACTTAACACGTGAGATGCCATTGATCCACGTACGTTCTTGCGTTAAATTTAATTTCTTAGGAATCGTACTACCTTGCTGCTTTGTCTTTTCTTTTTTTCTTTTCTTCTTTTTTTTTTCTTTTTCTCTATCTTAAAATATTTGCAGCCGATGCATCAATATAGAAAAATGCATATCACGGTGGGATGTGTAACGGAAAGAAGTAACTACCGCATTCGACATATTAGCACCAAACTTACCATCTAGTTCGCACACACGCATGCGCACGGAAGAATCCGAAAAACTGTATACACTTTTTAAAACTCAATTTATCCCTCGTTGCATCGAATAAACACGCGCACGATAGTAGTAATAAACATTAAAATACTTTCGAGAATGTTCAAAAAATGGACAGACTTCCCCGGAAATATACAGGAAAAGTTTTAGCTTTCATTTTTTTTGCTTTCTTTTTTTCCCCCATCATCTTTAAAATGCCCTTTAAAATCTGCCAGTAACGCGATTTTCCTAGTGATTCATCGCGCGTTCTTTTGTTCCTTTTTTCTCGATCGTTTTCTTTTCTTTTATTCGTATATTCGCGCAATCACAAGTATATCTAATTAGCTACCTATCTTTCCTTCTAGCGAAACTATTTGCGAGATCCGATCGTTCCATCCAGATTGTCAGGAAGTAAATAACTGAATAAGTTAATTCGGTGATCGTATTGCGTTTTGACATATCGTTTGACTCGTTTTTAGGCCTCGATCAGCAAAAAAAATTAAAAAAAGAATAATAAAATAATAAAAAAAGAAGATAATTCTCGACAATTCTTTTTCCCCGTTTAAAGACGATATTACTAACTGACAATCCTGGTTCTAGATTAAAAATTCTTATTTACGTTTGAGATCCATAGATGCTCGCATGCAAGAGAAAATGTAGTGTACTTTGTACTCGATCATGAATTTCACGATATTATTTGTATAGTATACTCGAAGACGACGAGCATACTCGCGTTTAGTTATATAATTATAATAGAGAGAGATCGCGTCGTATTATAGTGCGAAGAAAAACTGTGCAGACGGAGCAAGAGGAACGATCGGCCTTGATACACATATATATATATATATATATATATATATATATATATATATATATATATATACGTATCGTGTGTTCGTCCTAATTGAGCGAATATACATATGATTAAACGTTTTTTCTTTTTCATTTTTCAGGTAGCGTCGCATATTCACGTATATACATACGTATGTACATACATTGTACATACGAGTCGGTCGTATTTCTCGATTATTCAATACGTAGATCGTAGATCGTACAGTGAAACGACCGAGTTTCTGTATTAGGAAAAAAGACAATCATTTTTTGATCTCCAACTATTATACCCTATTTACATCGTTTCATACGGATTTTACTACGATAAATATCGATTGAGATAATGAAAAAGAAAAAGAAAATATATCTCGAACGCATCGTGATCATCGCACGCATTGCTATTGACCAGCCACAGGCTATTTGTGTAATGATAATGACGCTAATAATAATAATAATAATAATAATAATAATAACAATAATAATAATAATAATAATAATAATAATAATAATAATAATAATAACAATAATAATAATAATAATAATAACAATAATAATAACAATAATAACACTAATAATAATAAAAAGAAAATAATAATAATAATAATAATAATAATAATAATAATAATAATAATAATAATAAAAAAGAAAAAATAATAATAATAATAAAAATAATGATAATGATGATGATGATGATGATGATAATTAATAATAATAATCGTAATCATAATAATAGTTTACAAAATGAGACGTCCTACGTCCGGGAAGATACATATTTGGCACTGAATGTCTCTCTCTCTCTCTCTCTCTCTCTCTATTCTTTTTCTTTTTCTCACGGACGAATCGGAAAATGTCTCGTTTATTATTTTTTTGTTCTTCTTTCGTTATTACTTCTTTTTATTTTTATTGATCAAGCGCATTGTAGATCGTATCGAATGTTAGTCAAGCGCGAGTACTTCCTTTTAGAACAGTGTCCAGTATCTCTTTCCTGTTTACACAGAAAATAGTTTCTCGTAATTGGTAGAGAATGACAATACAAGAATGCGAATGGCGAGAAAAAGACTCTCTTGAGAATAACAAGAAAAATTGACGAAAAATATTAATCTTATCAGAGTTACCGAGTTCTTCTAAGTAATCGAAAATTTTGGGTACATCTATGCGTGTATACGCGCGCGCGTGTGTGTGTGTATGTGTGTTATGTGTGTTTGTGTTTATCTGTTGAGAAGAGCCAAACGAACTCAATCAAATAGGATTCTTTGATATTCTTTATACGCGAGTCTTCTGAACCAAATCACAGGAAGAAGACAACCAATGGACGAAGGGCTTGGCCTTAGCTGTTCATAACCGTAGATCGTCTCGAATAACCTCTCCTCGTCACGGTCTCACCCTGGGCCTCGCATTCTCGTTTTACTCGATCTATGATGTCGGCCACCAATTTCTCTTCCTTTTCTCTTTGTTGTTCCCAATCAGGACCTTTACCAATCTGCAGAGCACCAAAAAATATTTTATAAATATTCCATTATATACGATTTTTGAAGAAATGCTAATGCAAACTTTGCCATGTTTTAGGGGCTTGATCCTATAACTTACATCTGATGTTTTTCTGGATTTCTTGTTACTCGGTTCCTCTCTGTTCTCGTCGTTCTCGTTATCGGAGTGTCTCGCGCTCAGATGACCAATGTAGCCCTTCCGTGACTTGAAGTAGGCGTTACAGCTGTGGCACTTAAACAGCGGTGCTGGCTGAGTGACCTGGGTGGAGACGTGTAGCTTGTACTTATGCCTGTACCAACGGGTTCGAGACGGTAGCACCTCGCCGCACCACTTGCAGACTACGGAACCGTCGTTTTGAATGAGGTATTCCAGCAGCTTGTAAAATAACGTTTATTTGGTTTTTTCGCTCTTTCTCTCTGTCTTTCTCTCATCCTTTCATTCTTCACTACCACATACTTCACACAAACATGCAACATACGTACACGCACACGCACACGCACACACATACACACACGTATTCTCATTCTTTCTTTCTTTCTTTCTTTCTTTCAGTATAACAATCTCACTCATAATACAAGAAAGCTGATATCAAAAGTGCTCCCCACGAAAGTATAATTTTTCTAAAATTTTCTAGGAAGGATAAAGATAGGGATTAAGAAGATGGCAGATTAACCAACCTGCTTTCTGACTTCCGGCTCACTGTCAACCGATTCTGATTTCGGTAGCAATAATTCGGCTCTATCTTCTTCACGATCGGTGAGAAAATGTACGCCGCTGACTACTCTTTCAGCCTTGATGTATGCACCCGTCG